TCCCTGTGGGATGATCAGCCAGAACCCGCTGTTGTATTAGGGGATCCCCAGATGTCAGCATTCATGGGTCTTTTTAGTTTTTATGGGTACATACTAGGTATACTTATTTATGGGGTACATGAGATATTTTGATACAAACATATAATGTATAATAATCCCATCAGGGTAAATGGGATATCCATCATCTCAAACATTTATCATTTCTTTGTATTATAAACAATTCAGTTATATGCAGTTATTTTAAAAGGTACAAAAAGCGATTGTTGACTGTAGTTACCCTGTTATGCTGCCAATTAATAGATCTTATTTATTGTAACTATATTTTGTACCTATTTACTATCCTCACTTTCCCCCCACCGACTATACTTGCCAGCCTCAAGTAACAACCATTCTACTCTATCTCTGTGAATTTGTTTTAATGTTTAGCTCCCCAAAATGAGTGTGAATGTGCAGTTTATCTTTCTGTGACTGGCTTACTTCACTTAAAATAATATCCTCCAGCACCATTCCGTGTTGTCACTAATGACAGAATCTCATTCTTTGTTAGGGCTGAATAGTACTCCATCGTATATATGCACATTTTCTTTGTTCATTCATCTGTTGGTGGACACTTAGGTTGCTTCCACCTCTTGGATATTACAAATAGTAATGCAGTAAACATAGGAGTGCAGCTATGTCTTCGATATATTGATTTTCTTTTTCATGTATATATCTAACAGTGAGATTGCTGGATCCTTTGGTAGCTCTATTTTTAGTTTTTTGAGGAACCTCCAAATTGTTCTCCATAGTGGTTGCACTAATTTACATTCCCACCAACAGTATGCAAGGGTTCGCTTTTTTCCATATCCTCACCAGCATTTACTATTGCCTGTCTTTTGAATAAAAGCCGTTTTAACTGGGGTGAGATGATATCTCCTCATAGTTCTGATTTGCATTTCTCTGATAATCAGTGATGTTGATCACCTTTTCCTAAGTCTGTTAGCCTTTCGTATTTTTTTCTTTTGAGAAACGTCTATTAAGATCTTTTGCCCATTTTAAAATCAGATTATTAAATTTTTCTCTATACAGTTGTTTGAGCTTTTTATATATTCTGGTTATTAATCCCTTATCAAATGGATAGTTTGCAAATATGTTTCCCCATTTTGTGGATTTTCTCTTTGTTGATTGTCTCTTCTGCTGTGCAGAGGCTTTTTAACTTAATGGGATCCCATTTGTCCACTTTTGCTTTGGTTGTCCGTGCTTGTGGGGTTTTGGTTAAGAAATCTTTTCCCAGTTTAATGTCCTGGAGAATTTCCCCAGTGTTTTCTTGTAGTAGTTTCATAGTTTAAGGTCTTAGATTTAAGTCTTTAATCTGTTTTGGTTTGGTTTTTATATATGATGAGAGATCCTCTGCATATGGATATCCTATTTTTGCAGCACTATTTTTAAAAGAGATTATCCTTTCTCCAATGTATGTTCTTGGCACCTTTATTGAAAATGAGCTCACTGTAGATGGATGGATTTCTTTTGGATTCTCTATTGTGTTTCATTGGTCTTTTTGTCTGTTTTTATGCCAGTAGCATGTTGTTTGGGTTACTATAGGTCTATGGTATAATTTGAAGTCAGGTAATCTCATCCTTCCAGTTTAGTTCTTTATGCTCAGGATAGCTTTGCCTATTTTGGACCTTTTGTGGTTCCATATAGATTTTAGAATTATTCTTTCTATTTTTGTGAAGCATGTCATTGATATTTTGATAGGGATTGCATTTAACCTGTAGCTTTCTTTGAGTTATATTGACACTTCAACAATATTGATTCCTCCAGTCCATGAAGGTGGAATTCTTTCCATTTTTGGTGCCCTCTTCAATTTCTTACATCAGTGTTTTATAATTTTCATTGTAGCAATCATTCATTTCTTTGGTTAAGTTTATTCCTCATTTTATTTGTAGCTATTGTAAATGGGATTGCTTTCTTAGTTTTTTTCAAAATGTTTGATGTTCACATGGAAAAACGCTACAGATTTTTTTAATGTTGATTATGTATCCTGCAACTTTCCTGAATTTACCAGTTTTAATAGTTTTTTGGAGTCTTGAGGTGTTTCCAATTATAAGAGATTGTCTGCAAATAATTATAATTTGATTTCTTTCCAATTTGGATGTGTTTTATTTCCTTCTCTTGTCTGATTGCTCTAGCTACGACTTCCAGTACTTCCAGAAAAAGCTCAATTAATACTGAATTAATAGTGGTGAAAGTGGGCATCTCTTGTTCTAGATCTTAGAGAAAAGGGTTTAATTTTTTTTTCCCATTCAGTAAGATACTACTTATGGGTGTGTCTTATATGAGTTTTATTGTGTTGAGGTGTGTTTCTTCTATACCCTGTTTTTTAAGTGTTTTTACAATAAAATGTTGAATTTTATCAAATGCTTTTACAGCATCAATTGACATGATTATATAATTTTTGTCCTTCATTCTGTTGATATGATCACATTGATTTGCATATGTTGAACCATCCTTCCATTCCTGGATAAATTCCACTTGGTCATTATGAATACTTTTTTAATACGTTGTGGAATTTGTTTTGCTTGTAAATTTTCTTGAGGATTTTTGCCTCAAATTTTCCTTAGGGATATTGGCCTGTAGTTTTCTTTTTTAATGTGTCTTTGGTTTAAGTATCAGCCATTGAAATATTCCTTCCTCCTCTATTTTTGTAATAGTTTGAGTAGGATTGGTATTAGTTCTTCTGTAAATATTTGGTAAAATACAGCAGTGAAGCTATTGCTTTCAGGATTTTCTTTGTTGGTATTTTTTATTAAGGCTTTGATCCCATTATTTGTTACTGGTCGGTTCAGGTTTTGAAGTTCTTTATGGTTCAATCTTGGTAGGTTGTGTGTATCTAGGAATTTGTGTATTTCTTTTAGGTTTTCGTGAGTCTTTTTGGTGAGCTGGTCAGCTTTCTTCTCATGAAAATAACTTAGTTTTCTGCTAAGGCCTACACATTTGACTGCAACTGTTATGGAAGCTGAATGGAAGCAGAGGGTTGATAATTGTGCCTGTTGGTATATGTAGGATACTGTAGCCTATCCACATGTGTGTCTGTGTGCCCAGTGTCCCTGGGCTCAGGGCTACTGTGGTTTAATTTATCTAAAAGATAAACCTTCCATTTATTTCTGGCAGTGGAAGGTTTAGTTGTCTGGCTGCATAGGATGAGGGGGGGTTCTTAAAGGTGGAGTCCTCCTCAAATGGACTGGCAACTTGATCTTCTGTCCTCCATAGTGAAGTTTCTGTATCATCTTATGTTATTTTCAAAAGCATTTTCGTACCCTTGCCCTTGCATTGGCTGCCTAGTGGTCCACCTTCCCTGCACCTCACAGTTACCTCATGTGCCTTACAGGTACCTTGTGCTGTAATTTCTTCAGGTTTCATAGGGTTCTCTTAGGAGAACAGAAACAGAAAGAGGTAATCTAAATAAACCTGTACCTATTAAATAAATCAAAAACTGATAATCTTCCAAAAGAGAAAGCACTTGCCCCAGATGGTTTCACTGGAAAATTTCACCATTTAAGGAAGAGATGGCACCAACTTTCTTTTTTTTATTTTTATTTTTTGAGATGGAGTCTCACTCTATCACCCAGGCTGGAGTGCAGTGGTGCAATCTCGGCTCACTGCAAGCTCCACCTTCCGGGTTCACGCCATTCTCCTGCCTCAGCCTCCCGAGTAGCTGGGAAGACAGGCGCCCGCCATCACACCTGGCTAATTTTTTTTGTATTTTTTAGTAGAGATGGGGTTTCACTGTGGTAGCCAGGATGGTCTCGATCTGCTGACCTTGTGATCCGCCCGCCTCGGCCTCCCGACGTGCTGGGATTACAGGCGTGAACCACCACACCTGGCCGAGATGGCACCAACTTTCTGCAATCTCTTTCAGAAAATAAAAGTAGAAGGAATATTCCCTAACTCATTCTGTAAGACTAGCATAACTCTAATACCAAAAGCAGATAAAAAAATTACAAGAAAGGAAAAGCATAGACTAATATCTCTTTTAAACAGAGAAGCAAAATTCTCAACAAAATATTGGCAAATTGATAGCTGGATGTGGTGGCTCATGCCTGTAATCCCAGCACTCTGGGAGGCCGAGGCAGGTGGATCACTTGAGGTCAGGAGTTCAAGACCAGCCTGGCCAAGATGGTGAAACCCCATCTCTACTAAAAATACAGAAATTAGCCCAGCACAGTGGCGGGTGCCTATAATCTCAGCTACTGGAGAGGCTGAGGCAGGAGAATCATTTGAACCCGGGAGGCGGAGGTTGTAGTGAACTAAGATCACACCACTGCACTCTAGCCTGGGTGACAGGGCAAGACTCAATCTCAAAAAATATATATATATATATGTGTGTGTGTGTGTGCATATATATATATGCAAATTGAATGAACTATTGTATAAAAAGAATTATAAATCACAACAAGAGAGATTTATTCCAGGTATGTGAAGCTAGTTCAACATTTGAAAATCAATAAATGTAATCCATCATATCGAAGAAGAAAAATCATGTGGTCATATCAATAAATAAAAAGTATGTGATATCCAACACCCATTCATGATGAAAACTCTCAGCAAACTTGGAATAGAGGGGAATTTCCTTAACTTGATAAAGAATAGCTACAACCACCACCCTGCAAGTAACATCGTATTTCATGGTGAGAAGCTAGATGCCTTTCCTCTAAGATTTAAAACAAGGAAAGAGTGTCACCCTCACCACTCCTATTTAGTATCATACTGGAAGTTCTAGCAAATGTGATAAGAAAAGAAAATAAAAGGTAAGAAAGAAACAACAGAGATGAGAAAGGAACAAATAAAACTGCCTTTGCTCACAGATGACATGATTGTCTATGCAGACAATCTCAAAGAAGCAACATATACATCATCTCTTCATAACGAAATATATGAAATTTACTGTTTTTCCCTGGGTATTGCCTGGATTGTAAAATGCTTCTCCCACCTTCTTACCCCAACCTTCTTCCTTGTAGGTTAGAGTGACTTGTTATTGGTAAATAGCCACTATGGAGACTAAAGACCAGAAGAAACACAGAAAGAAATTTTACAGAAAGAAAAACAGTGGGCCCAAAACTGAAAAGAAAAAGAAGCGGCATCTGCAGGATCTCCAACTAGGAGACGAAGAAGATGCCCGGAAGAGAAATCCCAAAGCCTTTGCAGTTCAGTCTGCTGTGCGGATGGCTCGATCCTTTCACAGGTATGTTTAGCTACAGTCTGATGCTTCTTCCATTGATTCTTTTTAAATACTAGGAGCCTCTCACAGGTGACATTTGGATTTACGAGTTTAGTCCCACTCCAAAGGACATGCAGATGCATGCTGTGTGACTTTCACTAAAATTGAGAAGACCTCCCGTAGAAGCTGCCTTGCTTCCAGCATCTGCACACTGCTTGGTGTTTCTTGCCCAAGATACAAGAATTTATAGAATTTGTTTCTTCCTAAACTTTAAACTGTTTCTATGGTGATAAATGTGCTTCCCCCCCAGATATGTTTTACAAAGTTGTAATATAAAATACAAAAGTTACAATATTTAATACTAACATAGCTTTATTTAGTGAGTCCTTGTGATATTCTTAGCAGTGTACTTTAAACGTTATTCAACTAAATCCTTCCAGCAGCCTTACCAGACTAGGAATCATTCTTGCTCTCATTTTTTGGGTAAGAAAACTGAGGTCAAGAAAACGAGTTACCTCCAATCATATAACTAGTAAATAGGAGAGCCCAACTTAACTCCAGAGCCTCTGCTCTTATCTGTTATGATGCACTGCCTCGGTATTTACCTTTAGGTTTTTAAAAAAACTATTAAAATCACTCATAAAGCAGTCAGGTTTAAGGAGTGTTTAATTTTCAGCTGTCTATACTATTGAAGTCATCTTGTTACATCTTTATTGAACAGCAATTATTTGGATGGGGGCCAGTAGTTAACAAGTTAATAATTGACAGGTTAATTATATTTACATATTGTTTTGTACTCTCTATGAAATATACTAAAGTACTCATATCTATAAGTCTACTAAAAAAAGTCTACTTATAAGGTTGATGCCTTTCACTCTATTTTGAAAATGAGTTTCCTTTTTTTTTAATGACTAGGAGTCAGGATTTGAAGACAAAAAAGCATCATATTCCAGTGGTTGATCAAACTCCACTAGAGCCCCCACCAATAGTGGCAGTGGTGATGGGGCCTCCAAAGTTGGAAAGCGCACTTTGATACAATGCCTCATTCAGAGCTTCACCCGGCAGAAGTTGACCGAGATCAGAGACCCTGTGACGATCGTGTCAGGTAGGAGATGCTGCTGCAGACACAGAGTTGGCGTGACTATTGTCATCTGACGGACATGCGTGTGTTTGTTGTTTTCTTGAGTGGAACGTGTTAAATATTTTCATATCATGTTTCCTCTCTTATACTTTTACTAAGTTAGCTATAACTTCAGAAAAGGGTAAGTTCCCAGAGATAAGGATGTGATACATATCTTATCCTGACTGCTCTATGGCTTTGCCAAGCATGTTCCTTGGAAGGGCCTAGCAGGCCTGGTCACTGTGAACACATCATGTAACAGATAGAATGTACCTCCTATGTGCCAGGTGCACATGCTTGCCCTTACGAAGCCACATGCTGGTGGAAGTGCGCCTTTTCTCTTTTTCCCATGAGAATTTGTCAGCTTTGGGAGATGGTGACGTTTCCAAGTTTGAGGGAAGATGAAATAAACTTCCAGTGGTAGAATGGCAATGCACACTTTGAAATCTCTTGTTACTGCAATAATATAGTTGGATTGAGACTTTTCTTTATCTTTGGCGCAACCGTATTTTCTTTTCCTTTTTTCGAGACAGAGTCTTACTCTGTAGCACAGGCTGGAGTACAGTGATGCGATTACAGCTCATTGCAGCCTCAACTTCCTAGTATCAAGCAATCCTCCTACTTTAGCCTCCTGAGTAGTGTATGCCACCACGCCTGGCTAATTTTTTTTTTTTTTTCTTTTTGTAGAGATGGGGTTTTCCCATGTGGCACAGGGTGGTCTCAAAATTCCTGGGCTCAAGGGATTCGTCTGCCTTGGCCTCCCAAGGTGCTGGGACTACAGGCGTGAGCCACTGTGCCCAGCCCATATTTTCTTGACCGTTTTCTTTTTACCTTAATTTAGACATAATTATCGTTTTGAATATTCTGTTGCATTATGTTTGAGGAAGTTTTTAGCGATAGTGGGAATACGGGAAGTTTTGTTAGAGGTGAAGATACCTGGAACTGAACAGCAGGATCATGGTTATCATGGAGCCTGTCCAGTCAGAATTTTCCCTGTTCGAGCACTTTTATTTATCTGGGTAGACTTTTGATATTATTTAAATTTAGAACACAGCAAGAAAAACAGGATGGAATTTATTTTATTTTACCAGTTTTTGCCTATAAAAATGAACTTCTGGTACACTCCTATAAACGTATATGTTGTTTTACTGGATGCAGTTAAAAATGAAAGTTAGAGCTGATGCTTAGAGTTTTTTCAGGGTCTTTTTAAAGTAAAATTTTCATCTTTTCACTTATAGGTAAAAAGCACAGATTCGCCATTATTGAATGTGGGTGTGACATTAACATGATGGTTGATCTGGCTAAAGTAGCAGATCTGGTAAGTCAGCAGGGGCAGCCTGGGGTGCTGATGGAGACTTACAGTGTTGTGATAGGTTATTTACCCTGTGAAGGGAAGAGAGTTTTATGATTATTAAAGGAATCATGGTCATCTCTTCAGGGATATAGTAGATGTGATTGAATTGATGATGATAATAATAGTAATAAATGTTGTTATATTAGTAATACAAATGGAATGTGCACAATGAAATGTATTCCAAAATCTAAAAGCAAATCACAGGATAGAGAAAATCTTTAATGAACACAGCTAATAACAGCATATTAACATGCATGCATATATACATACAAATATGTCATAGTAAGTACCATTTCTTCTTGGACCCTTCCTGGCACTGTGCTAACTGCTTTCTACAAATTTAGCTTACATAAACCCTTGATACACCCTTCAGGTGAGTAGGTATTATCTGTAGTTTACATAAGATGAAATAGAGCCTCCCAGCAGTTAAGTAACTTCTGTGAAGATGGACCGTTTGTTCCTGATGGTTCTAGAACCTTCATCCTTAATGATAATGCTAAAGTAAGTACATGAATTGCCTGAAGAAGTGGTCAGAGTTTATCAGTAGAAAATCTGGATAGTACTCAGTGTGTGGAAAACATACATGCTCTTGCATTTATGGAAATGATAATGTTCACTATTTCTGATATTTTATTTTTTTTAATTTAGCAAAAATAAAACACAAATTGGCAAAAAAAAAAAATGTCTGGGTGCAGTGGCCCACAACTGTAATCCCAGCACTTTGGGAGGCTGAAGTGGGCGGATCACCTGAGGTCGGGAGTTCGAGACCACCCTGACCAACATGGTGAAACCCCGTCTCTACTAAAAATACAAAATTAGCCAGGTGAGGTGGCGCATGCATGTAATCCCAGCTACTTAGGAGGCTGAGGCAGGAGAATTGCTTGAACCTGGGAGGTAGAGATTGTGGTGAGCTGAGATCGTGCCATTGCACTCCAGCCTGGGCAACAAGAGCAAAACTCCATCAAAAAAAAAAAAAGAATTAGCAAAAAAATACGCCATATTGATTAGGAAGTGTGGGGTGACAGATACCCTGTTTTTTTCATTTTTATGTATTTTTTGTTTTGTTTTGTTTTGTTTTAATTGCAGACAGGGTTTCACCATGTTGGCCAGGCTGGTCTTGAACTCCTGACCTCAGGGGATCCCCCTGCCTTAACCTCCCAACGCGCTAGGATTACAGGCTTGAGCCACTGCGCCCAGCCTTTTATTTAGTTTTTTCCTAGAGCTACAGATTTTATCCTTTGGCCCAGGAAGAACCCTAAAATATAAAGTGAAAAGTAATACAGATTTTAAAGTTGTGCCATTGTAATGTCAGAAAACTAAATAACTTTCAAATTTTGAACCCGTAATGCTACTATTAGTAAAAATAAGTGTTATTATTAACGTAATAAAGTTGTGTATAAATCATGTGTACTTGAAATAGTTCATAGAGATCATTTGTTTCTCTTTTATTTAAAATGTAGCAAGTTTCTAATTTTAAAGACATACATATTAAGAGATGCCTTTACTTTTTTGTTTTTCATTATTATGGATATATAATATTTATGGGGTACATGTGGTATTTTGATAGAAGCATACAGTGTGTGATGATCAAATCAGGGTAATTAGGATATCCATCACTTCAAACATTTATCATTTCTTTGTTTTAGGAACATTTCAATTTCATTCTTTTAGTCATTCTGAATTATATAATAAATTATAGTCACCCTAGTGTGCTGTTGGACACTGGAATTTACTCTATCTAACTGTATTTTTGTACCTGTTAACCTTTCCCTCTTTGTCCTCCCACCCCTGCTCCTCTTCCCAGCCTCTTAACCGTCATTGAGAGAGATGCCTATGTAAATCTTTTTAAGATTTTTAAAAGGAACACACACATTTGGTAAAGCACTCTAACTAATGCAAGGTACACACAATGCGGTTTTCTCTTACCTTGCTCTAACCGCTGGTCTCTCAGGGCCCTGCAGAGCAGTATCCTTCCAGATACATATAAACACACATGCCACCCTTTAAAAACACAAATGGTAGCTTATTTTACACACTCTTCTATGCTTTGCTTTTTTCATGTAATATATCTTGGAGGTATATAATCAGTAAGTACTGTAGCTCTGCCTCCTCCTTTTTAATATAATATTCCATTCTATGGATGCACCATAATTTATTTAGCCTAGCTTATGTTGATTGCTCTGCTCTGGGTTGTCAAAGCCTCCTGAGTATGGCAGAGACACACACAATACATGGATTTGGGTGTGTACGTGAGTGTGTGGATTAGGGGAGTAACACTGGCTTAGATGACAAAGCTTGGCAGCTGAGGGACTGTTTGGTTCCTGTTCTTTCTGACCCTACAACCAGCTGCTTGCCCCTTGGCATTCTGTGGCATCAGATGTGGTGTGAGGATTCTCCACCTGTTCTTTGAGCTGGTACAGTGTTGCTGGAGAGCTCTGCTTGCTGCCTTGGTCCACAGTGGCAGCCGTGCTTTCTTACAAGCCCACCTTCATATATTCTGTGGTTTCAGATTACGGATGTTTCCTAGTTTAATCAAAGATGGGCATTTCTGTTTCCATTTTGTGTTATTTTTAGTTATCTATGGAAATAGAGGAGCAAAAATGTCTTTAATATTAAACCTAGAAGTTTCCAGGAATCAATTCTGAAATAATTTTGCATCTTTGAAGTGTCTTAAATTTTAAAAATTGGTCTTATCTGCTTGTATTTTCTTATAGACTACCATTCATCATAATCTTACTGTTTTTTGACTTAATTCTAAACTGGTAGCTATTTAAAAAAATTTCTATGCCGGGCGCGGTGGCTCACACCTGTAATCCCAGCACTTTGGGAGGCGGAGGCGGGCGGATCATGAGGTCAGGAGATCGAGACCATCTTGGCTAACACGGTGAAACCCCGTCTCTACTAAAAATGCCAAAAAAAATTAGCCGGGTGTGGTGGCGGGCACCTATAGTCCCAGCTACTCGGGAGGCTGAGGCAGGAGAATGGCGTGAACCCAGGAGTTGGAGCTTGCAGTGAGCTGAGATTGCGCCACTGCATCCAGCCTAGGTGACAGAGTGAGACTCCGTCTCAAAAAAAAAAAAAAAAAAAAAAAAAATTTCTGAGCAATTGAGTTATAGAAATTAACATGTAAGATGGAGGTTTCCACTGCATACTTCCCGGCAAAAAACAGATTTTTTTTTTTTTTTTCTATGAAGAGATTGAAAGAAGAGGTTGATTTTCTGTACCTATTTAATATATTTCATTGATTATCACTTTCTTCCCATTCTTTGGATGTCAGAGACCTGTTATTTAGCTTAAAAATACCTTACAGAAAACTTCATTTCTTTAAATTAGGATTTCTTAGGTAAGGGCCAGGTTAGACCCAGCCTTTTTTTTTTTTTTTTTTGAGACGGAGTCTTGCTCTGTCGCCCAGGCTGGAGTGCAGTGGCCAGATCTCAGCTCACTGCAAGCTCCGCCTCCCGGGTTTACGCTATTCTCCTGCCTCAGCCTCCTGAGTAGCTGGGACTACAGGCACCCGCCACCTTGCCCGGCTAGTTTTTTGTATTTTTTAGTAGAGATGGGGTTTCACCAGGTTAGCCAGGATGGTCTCGATCTCCTGACCTCGTGATCTGCCCGTCTCGGCCTCCCAAAGTGCTGGGATTACAGGCTTGAGCCACCGCGCCCGGCCCAAGACCCAGCCTTTTCTGAGTTACTTCTCACGCATTAGAATTCTTAAAATGAAAGTTTATATCCTAGTGGGCATTGTCTTATGGTTGCCTTTTAGAGCAAGTCAGAGGGTGGTGGTTCCTCTGGGTGATGCCTGTGTAGTCATTTGATTTAGTCTGAAGTGGAACTTTTCTGTCGAGGGCCAGATAGTAAATATTTTCGGCTTTGTGGATCATGTCTTTTACAGCTACTTAGCTCTGCAGTGGTAGTGCCCAGGCAGCCATAGACAATATGTAAATGAATTAACGTGGCTGTGTTCCAATAAAACTTTAGTTACAAACACAGGTGATGGGCTGGATTTGGCCCATGGGCCAGTTGCCAACCCCTAGTGTAGGTGGTCTGTTTTGGTAGTTTCTTTGAGAAATGATGTGTTCTGCTTGTAGGTACTGATACTTACAGATGCCAGCTTTGGGTCTGAAATGGAAACCTTTGAGTTTCTAAACATCTGTCAAGTACATGGCTTTCCTAAAATTATGGGAGTTCTCACCCACCTCGACTCCTTCAAGCATAATAAGCAACTGAAGAAAACAAGCAATTAAAACACATGTTCTGGACAGAAGTTTTCCTGGTAGGAAGAGAAATAATTGTTAGATACTGATAGTATAATCCTTTTAAAACAGACTGAAGAGGCAGGCACAGTGGCTCCTGCCTGTAATCCCAGCACTTTGGAAAGCAGAGTCGGGCAGATCACTTGAGGCCAGGAGTTTGGAGCTCAGGGCAATATGGCCAAACCCCGTCTCTACTAAAAATGCAAAAATTCATCAGGTGTGGTGGCGCATGCCTGTAATCCCAGCTACTCTGGAGGCTGAGATGTGAGAATTACTGGAACCTGGGAGGCAGAGGGTGCAATGAGCTGAGATTGTGCCACTGCACTCCAGCTTGGGTGACAGAGTGAGACTCTGTCTCAAAAAACAAACAAACAAACAAAAAACTGAAGAGACATTACTTAATGTCTCTCTAGCATTTGCCTCCTGAATTCCCTTTGTGTATGTGTTCCCAGTCTCTGGAAGGTTTCCCTCAAGAGAGCGCTTATTCTGGGCCTCTTGGTGTATCTCATTTGTCTCTGTACCTGCTGCACCAGGCAGTGTCTGGGTGTTTGGGGTCGGGACTTAATAGAGTACATCAGAAGTTTCTCCCAGTTACAAGACCAGGCACTGCCCCTTCCTTTCCATACTGCTCTGGTCCATCGGCTACAGAACCGTTTCTGTGCTCAGAGGCCTCACCTCCCTCTCCTCACCATACTTAGATGGATGCCCCTGCTCGGGTGCAGAGCAGTCTGCCTCTGTGGGGTTCTAATAAGTCCTGAAAGAAGCCAGCAAGGCTCTGGAAGCCTCAGGACAGTGGCTTTGCTGGAAGTCTCCCTTCCTAGGATTGCTTCTTGTTTAGAGCTTTTATTTTGTTGCAGTTTTGACAAGAACTTAATTGAAATTTAATTTTTAATTTTCCTTTAATGTTTAGGGTGCCAAGCTGTTCTACTTTTCTGGAATGATCCCTGGAGAGTAACAAAACCAAGAAATGCACAATCTGGGCCATTTTATTACAGTTATGAAGTTTAGGCCTTTCACAGGGCAGACTTCTCACCCTTATATCCTGGCAGACAGGTAAAAAGTGATTATAAACTTTTTCTTCCTGGGCCATATATTTCAAAGCTAAAAAGGCTAGAAGAAGAACAGTGATAGGATTTATTTTGTGCCTGTTTGAATAGTGGTGGTAGAAGTGTAGTTGATGGAAAATGTCTACTTATATCATTGCTTAAAGATGCTGTGTCTTTGGAAGTAAATTAATTATGAGATGTTTAGGAGAATGGGAAGACTTGGAAGCATTTAAGGCTACAGGATGTGGCCCCATCCTACACTTAGCCTCAGTTTTCAGTGATGCTGCCTTCGTGCCCGGGTGCTTGAGTCCTCGTGTGTGCCTTCAGTTTCCTTCCTTTGTGCTCTTCTTTGTGCTGTGGTTTTCTCAGCCTGGAGTACCCTTTCTCCACCTGCCAGAATCCAAACCACAGCACAAATGCCAGAGCACAGGCTCACCCTCTTCCAGAAAGGGATTTTGTGAACATGTTCTTCACTCTTGCCTGACCCCAGGTGGATGTCATCTGCCTGTCTGGTGTCTTCCGAAATGAATGTCACTTTCAGCCTAGAGACATAGTTGTGTGCCTGCCCCTTTTCCGCTGCTGGATGGTGAACGGTGCTTCCTTATTTCTTCATTTTCTAGTTTTCTAAATGACGTGCTTAGTGGACAAGAGTGTGATGAGTCACTGACACATGAAAGGAAGTATAGGAACTTTTGGCATTGATCTCTGCTGTATGGTTGTGTTTATTTTTCTAGGATGGAAGATTTGACAAACCCAGAGGATATCCGAACAAACATGAAATGTGACCAGCAGATGCCACTTTATGGTTATTTAAGAGGAGCACACTTGAAAAGTAAAAACCAAATTCACATGGCAGGTATTCTCTTGTTGTAGAACATACTAGAATTACACATAAGATTCTTGGGATGGCTTAATTTCTCAGGAAAACTGAAAAATGGCCAAACAAGGGAAGATGGCCTTGCTGGAGGTTTTAAAAGTAAGCCAGCTATGTGTAGGCCTACAAAGGTGTTACCAAAATCCCCTCTTCTCTGACCTCTTGTCTTACAGCTAGAGGGATGCTATTCCAGTATGGCATGATGCCCGTCTTTAGGGTCATGGTTTAAGCCCTTGGACTGTCGATCTTTTTTTGTTGTTGGTGGTGGTGACTGACCCCATCAATCATGCTCTTTAGAAAGCATGCATTTGGATGTTTCTTTTATTATTATTATTATTATTATTATTATACTTTAAGTTCTAGGGTACATGTGCACAACGTGCAGGTTTGTTACATATGTATACATGTGCCATGTTGGTGTGCTGCTATCCCTTTCCCCTCCCCCTACCCCACAACAGGCCCCGGTGTGCTATGGTCCCCACCCTGTGTCCAAGTGTTCTCACTGTTCAGTTCCCACCTATGAGTGAGAACATGCAGTGTTTGGTTTTCTGTCCTTACGATAGTTTGCTCAGAATGATGATTTCCAGGTTCATCGGTGTCCCTACAAAGGACATGAACTCATCCTTTTTTATGGCTGCATAGTATTCCATGGTGTACATGTGCCACATTTCCTTCCTTCCTTCCTTCCTTCCTTCCTTCCTTCCTTCCTTCCTTCCTTTCCTTCCTTCCTTCCTTTCTTCTTTCCTTCTTTCTTCTTTCTCTCTCTTTCTCTCTCTCTCTTTCCTTTCTTTCCCTTTCCTTCCTTCCCTCCCTCCCTCCCTCCCTCCCTCCCTCCCTTCCTTCCTTCCTTCCTTCCTTCCTTCCTTCCTTCCTTCCTTCCTTCCTTCCTTCCTTCTTTCCCTTCCGTTCCCTTCCCTTCCCTTCCCTTCCCTTCCCTTCCCTTCCCTTCCCTTCCCTTCCCTTCCTTTCCTTCCTTTCCTTCCTTTCCTTCCTTTCCTTTCTTTCCTTTCTTTTCTTCACAGAGTCTCACTCTGTCACCCAGGCTGGAGTGCAGTGGCACAGTCTTGGCTCACTGCAAACTCCGCCTCCCGGATTCATGCCATTCTCCTGCCTCAGCCTCCTGAGTAGCTGGGACTGCAGGTGCCCACCACCACACCCAGCTAATTTTTTTTTTTTTTGGTATTTTTAGTAGAGACGGGGTTTCACCGTGTTAGCCAGGATGGTCTCGATCTCCTGACCTCGTGATCCACCTGCCTTGGCCTCCCAAAGTGCTTTTTACAGGTGTGATTACAGGTGTGAGCCACCATGCCCGGCCTGTGCCACATTTTCTTAATCCAGTCTATCACTGATGGACATTTGGGTTGGTTCCAAGTCTTTGCTGTTGGGAATAGTGCTGCAATAAATATGTGTGTGCATGTGTCTTTACAGCAACATGATTTATAATCCTCTGGGTATATACCCTGTAATGGAATGGCTGGGTCAAATGGTATTTCTAGCTCTAGATCCTTGAGGAATCGCCATACTGTCTTCCACAATGGTTGAACTAGTTCGGACTGTGGATCGTTTTTAACCCCTAGTCAGCGGTAGATACTTACTGATTTCTTGTCAGCTGAAGTTGGCTTTTTGGGTCCTGTCTTCTAGGGGTAGGAGATTTTGCCATGAGTGACGTCAGTTTCCTCCCAGAACCTTGTGCTCTTCCTGAACGACGAAAGAAGCACTGTTTAAATAAGGAGAAGCTGGTTTATGCGCCTCTTTCTGGAGTTGGGGGTGTGCTGTATGACAAACACGCTGTCTTTGTTGACCTTGGTGGCAGGCAAGGTTTTCGTGCATCGGTGAGGCAGGAGTCATTGCTCTGAACTCTCATTATTCTTTCTGAATCTATTTTTTCATCACAAATAGTAACGTACGCAGCTTTTATTTATTGAAGATTTCTCTCTTGTACTTATAATAAAGGCTCAAATGCATATTGTAAATATGTAGAATAAAAAGAATACCTTGTTTTCATTGTACCAAGCAGAAGAGTCCTGTCCTCCATGCCTCTTTGTTCTGTGGCCCCAGCACGGGCACTGCCGCCTGTGTGGCGCCTGCACGGCCCATCTCCATTTCTACAAAATCAGCGTGCTTTCCAGCTCTCAGTGGTCTTTTTCTCATTCTCAGTGGTCTCCTCATTCTGTATTTTAAAGTGGATTTCAAACATTTATATCTTGTTCTGAAGTGGAATTTTATTGGGTTAAAATCAGGGTTATTTTAAAATGTTAGAAAAACTAGCATTCTTGTAGCACTGGAACTGAGGTTTTTCTAGTTAGGTGTTCAGGTTATCAGGTTATATACTCCCTGAACTTTGGAAAAGTTTAATGGAGATGGTGGTCCATTTCAAGCTTTGTTGTAAGGATTTTCTTTGCTTCTTTTTTTTTTTTTTGAGACGGAGTCTCGCTCTGTTGCCCAGGCAGGAGTGCAGTGGCGCGATCTCTGCTCACTGCAAGCTCCACCTCCCGGGTTCACGCCATTCTTCTGCCTCAGCCTCCTGAGTAACTGAGACTACAGGTGCCCGCCACCACATTTGGATAACTTTTTTGTGTTTTTAGTAGAGATGAGGTTACACCTTGTTAGCCAGGATGGTCTCAATCTCCTGACCTTGTGATCCACCCACCTCGGCCTCCCAAAGTGCTGGGATTACAGTCGTGAACCACTGTGCCTGGTCTCTTCTCTGCTTTTTGAGGCATTAAGAAAAGTTTTCGGGAAATGTGTGTAAGATAATTTTGAGAAAGTGCGTGAAACCAGTGTCTCTCCAAGATCTTTGTGTTTTCCTCAGTGCCTTTTCTTGATGGTCTTGACAGGACGAGGTGGGGCCCACCCATGAACTGGTCCAGACTTCCATGTCCACTCACTCCACTAAGATGGCTTCAAGTTGAGTGACGCTATTTTCTGGTTCCAAGACACTTGGGTCAGAGAATATAGATAATCACGGGTAAGTCTGCTTTTTTCCTATTTTTAATTAAAAGATATATTACGGAAGATTTTATCACCCGTAATTCTGCCATCATAACACATTTTGTTGGGATTCATTCTATTTTTTATTTTTCTTTGTGTATGCATGTGTCTCTGAGGGCTCTTCACTTACCTGACATTACGAGGGAGTCTTTTCTAGAAATAAAATACAGGATGCATTTTTCAACAGACCCCAAATGTTCCTTAAATACCACGCCATCTTCCATTGGTTGCTTTTTTGTTTTTTAGGAGACCTGAGTTCACTTGGCTTTCTTTTGGTGGCCAAAACACTAGAGGAGAGTCAGGGAGTTTGTGGCTGTCCAGAAGCCGCATGCCTAGTCTCTGAAAGTTTTATTTCGATTATGTTGTATTATCTCATGGGTAGGTTTACACTGATATGTGGCTTATGTGAATTATTTTTCAGCCTGGGTTAAGAATTTGTATACCTTTATACATAGTGGATGTTTGCAAAACATTGGTTTTGTTGTACTGATTTATGACTCCCAGTAAAATTTATCTGAAAAATTTGAGATAATCTAGTATGTAGTTTGTTACAATGTGCATAAACTACCTACCGCAGTGACTGACATAATGAGTGTTATTAGCTACTTTCATTTTTGCATATCCTTCTAGTCATCCTTGTCTACAAGCCTACCCTCTTCTAATATAGTTACAGTTAAAATACGTAATTTTATTTCTATATTCTCAGCATTTCCTTTTTCTATACAGTCTTTACAGTCTTTATGTAGTCATGTTTTGTTATTATTGGTATTTTTTTTTTTTTTGAGAGAAGGTCTTGCTTTGCCTCCCAGGCTGGAGTGCAGTGGCGTGATCTTGGCCCATTGCAGCCTGGAACTCCCAGGCTCAAGTGATCCTCCCACTTCAACCCTGCAAGTAGCTGGGGCTACAGGAGTGCACCACCACTCCGACTGATTTTTTTCTTTTTTTCTAGAGATTAGTTCTGTGTTGCCCAGGCTGGTCTCGAACTCCTGGGCTCAAGCTATTCTCCCACGTTGGCCTCCCAAAGTCCTGGGATTACAGGTGTGAGCCACTGTGTCTGGCCTATTATTGCTGTATTCAAACTTGGCTATCTCTTATGGTATGATTTTTCATTTTTTCTAATTTAGGTTTTCATACTTTTATATATCATGCTATGTTAAATATCTCTGTATAGGTTTCTTTCATCCAGTGATTTTAGCCTCCTTATGATCTTCTCTATCATTTATGGCACTGGTGACTTAAATTGAATGTTCTTCCTGTGTCATTCCTCGTACGTTTGTTACCTGGCATTTTTAACAAAGAGCTTTCACTTCTCCTCTTTATTTTGGTCTCACTGCTGACTAATGCACTTGCGTTTTATTCTATGGGTTATTTTCCATCACTGTTGTTGTTCTTTCTGATGTCTGTGCTGTCCCAGATTTGGCCACGGGAGCCTCAGCCTGTATCCTGTGTCCTGTCAACTGTCTCTGTTAGTCTTTAGCATTTCTTACCTTCTGACACAACAAGAGAATCCAGGCTCATTTTGCCCTCTTCCTGCCTTGGGCCTGGACTCAGCCATTTCTCTTAAGGATCATGTGTTTTTAGCTTAGAAATTAATCAGCTTTCCAAAAGATCTACAAAACACTAACTTCCCTGTTGAGCAATTGTTTTCTAAAATTAGATTTTTTTTAAAAGGGTTATTCCTTTATTCTCGCTGTAAGTTCTTTTGAAGTGTGGTGTTAGGGAACCATGCCTGAGTTTGCTTATTAACTCTTCCAGTGTTATCAGATCATTTTTTCACTATGCTATGTCATCTTAAACATCTTAAACAATTCCTTGACATTTTTTTATTTCTTTGTATTTTCATTGACTATATTACCATTTCTAGATTAGCTGGTTAATATACAAATTGAATTATTTTGCATTTCCTTGGTAATATAGGCTGTTGATGCTAAAGGAGGAAAAACAAATGGACTTTAAAACTGGTCAAATGCGTCGGAAAGCCATTTTGGGAGATGATTCTGTGCTAACATCCTCTCTCCTTTCTTGGTCTCTTAATTTTTTTTTCTTACCCAAGTATATACAGGTTGATTTTGTCTTTCTAGAAGATCCAAGATCTTTGGTTTAGAGATATATTGTCTTAATGTTAACTGGTATTAGAATACCCTTTTCTGTATTTTATTTCAATACATTTTGAGAGTAGAAATGATCGTATTTTCTTTTAACTTGTGAAGTAGAGCATGGCATACAAATGTTGTATTCACAGTATTTCAAAAAATTACCTTCTTACTGTACAAGTTGTATTCGGCATATAAAGTCTATCCAGCTTTGTTGTAGATGCAGTGTGATTATTACATGTTGATAAGGTATGAATTGGAGGTGGGATCCAAAATTATTGTACTTATTGTAATTTTTAAGCTAATTGTAGGTTTGGTGGTGAATATTTTGCTTCTGCGAAATGTAAACAGCATTTCATCAGAAGTTGTTTTATGGTCTTTCAGACATTTTGTTTTATATCTTTGGTGCTTTTTGCCCATGAAGTATCTCTTTTGTGTGTTTGTGTGTGTGTATTGATCTGCCTCTAAATTTCACAACGCTCATTGTCAGGGATCAGCAGAGTCAGGCCTAGGCAGAGAGCTGAGCAGTACTCTCAGTACGTCTCTGTGTCCTGGTTGCCACATTATCTCTGTTGTATATTTATAAATTGGAGAACTCTCTGACCTGTAACAAAGGTTGGATGGGACAGGGACAATTGGGAGAGGAATCTGCTCTATTGTCCCCTGTGCCCCATGCCAAAATACACTGTGAAATTCATATTTAAATATTAAATTTGTATGGTGAATGTATTCTTTTTTAATGTTAAAAAATTAAATGATTAGTCAGACCACTTAATATTTACAATGCAGGACTGACTTTGCATATTCTCTGTCTTGTATTTTTGCTTTATTTAAGCTAAGCTAGCCTCCAAAGCTGGAAGCTGAATTAAGTCGAAAAATAATGACATGTATACAAGGTGTGTTTGGAGGATTGCAGATGCAGGGGCACCGTACTGCTGAAGGAGTGTTGGAAGCTCACTGCAGAAGATGATAAAAGCAGACTGATGTGTATTACCTGCTGAAATGTAAGCTGGAGGCACAGGTGAAGATTGCCAACCCTAATGAGCAGTTTGGCTGATAAGACAGGCTGTCAGGCCGTGGCAGTTCAGCAGTGGGCGTGCTGCCTGTGAACCAAGTCATTTGTTCCAGAGGACTACACTTAAATACCACAAATAAAATCTTCCTTGTCACTGATATTTGATATCACAATGAAATAGATACTATCTTTCAGGTTTCTGGTTGAATTACCAGCCATTAACATCTGGTGATTTGGGTTGTAAAATTATTTTTAGTTTTGCCTGTTCACATTTCATCCATAAAGCACAAACAAGATATATTTTCCCACATAAGAATGTACGCAGTATAAGACTTTAAAACACACTAATGAAATATACATGATTACATCCTTCAATGAACTAAAACTTTCATCTGTGATCTTTATTTTGCAACACTCTGAAGTAACATTACAGTCTTTTCAGTGTGCTGTGTCATTTATATCCCTTACTTTATCCTAGGAATCCTGTATTGCCATTGAGCATATGAAAATTGAGACATGTGCATAGCTTCTCCCTGTTGAGCCCATCAGTGGGGAGGAGCTATGTACCGGGGACATTTGGCAAAGATTTTCATGAGTCTGTTGGATATAACAGCTCCTTAAGGAAACCTCACAGTTTACCTTCCCTGTTTTTTTTTTTACCATTTGTAAACTAAGGCTCAGTGATGTAAAATATAACACATTCTGCGCTGTGGCATAACTACAGCTTAGGTTTTCATATTCAAGACAAGCACAAGTATAGCTGGAAAGCTATGAACGCTTATTATGCCTCAAGATTCCTCTGTTGGTTTAGTTGGGGCATTTCCAAACAGCTGACTTGGGGCTAAAGCATCTTTCTATCTGGCATCAGTATTTCTAAGTTGCCTTTAAGCTTAATAAACGTTTGGTTTTTATATTTCATTGCTTCAATGTGAAACACCGCAATTAAAAAAAAATCACAGATACGTAGTATGTAGTATAGTATTGTATATGTATATGTAATATAGTATTTTACACTAAGTAATAGTGACTGGCAGTCCATTGGTTGAAGAAGTATTATTTTTCAGATCTTCTGCTCTGTGTCATCAGCTGTAGACACTGACCTGGTATTTATCTGGAAGGGCTGTCAGGAGTTCACAGTGCTGCCTGTGGGTTATCTCCAGACCCTTTACAGATGGCACTTTAGGACAGGGTGAATCACAGGTTGCACTAGAAGTTGCCTTTGAAATTAGACCTGAACTGTGTACAACTGGAACCCTTGTACACAAAGCTCTCTACCATCCAAATCCTGCTGAAGTCTTAGGGAAGAACAGTTTTCCAGATTCATTCTTTCCACACACAAGATTTCCCCACTGCCCAATTACTCTCACCTTTTTTTTTTTCTTGACTGTTATATTTTACTGGACTCTGGAGTCTTACCTTGTACTCTCACCTTTGCATGGGAGTGTACCTATTTCACCAGTTATACTATCTGTTTATCAAAAGCAGAAGTAGTTACTTACACCTGAAAATTTGTACCGAGAATATAGCTGTGAATATGTTAAGAAAGTATACTTAAAGTAAGAAATCAAAGGAAGTGTATTTAAATCAAAGCAAGAAATCCCATTTCCAAATGGCAATAAAGCGTGTGTTGCATAGAGAGAATCAGTGCAGGAGAGTGTTTTAGTAGCCCAGATTCGATTGTACACTGGTGAATAAGCAAGAGTTCTTTTTCGTTTTCATCTTGCATTTAACCGGGTATTTGAGTTCTTTTTCTATTCACACATGTCAGATAGAGACATGCGTGTTGTAAATTATTTTGTCAGAATGAAAGCCTGGCAGATTTAATGCTTTCTTCCCTTCTTGCTGGACTTGATATCAATCTCTTCTTCATTTCTTGATAATATGTTTGATTATTTATGTTTTCATTGCTTTTAGTGTCAGAGATGGCTTTGGATTCCCAGTTCTGTGTGCTCCTGTCTGGCTCCTGAACCCAGCTGGAGAGGTGAGTCTGGTGAAGTACTGAGAGGAAGCTACACAAAAGGCAGCAAGGTATTAATACGTGTACCTCTGACATTTTAACCACCTCTGACTGTTCCATCGAATGGACAAGTAGCAGTCTCTGTCAGAGCTTCATTTTAAAGAAAAAAAAAGAAACTCTGAAGTTACCAACTGTTTATTAATTTATGCCGTTATTTTGTGTTTACTCAACTCATTATATTGACTTGTAAATTAGTAATTTCTGACCTATTATTTATGAATTCATTGCCTACATGTCAGCAAACAAATTTTCTTCTCAATAAAAAATCCAGTGGCTGGGCACAATGGTTCATACCTCTAATCTCAGCATGTTGGGAGGGCAAGGCCAGGAGTTCAAGACCAGCCTGGGCAACATAGCAAGATTTCATCTCTACAAAAAAATGAAAACATTGGCTGAGCATGGTGGCTCATTCCTGTAGTTCAGGTTACTCAGGAGCCTGAGGTAGGAGGATCACTTGAACCCAGGAGTTTGAGGCTGCGGAGCCTGAGGTAGGAGGATCACTTGAACCCAGGAGTTTGAGGCTGCGGCTGTGATCCTAAACTGCTCTCTCCAGCCCGGTGACACACCAAGACACCATCTCTTCAAAGAAGGAATCTAGGGCATCGGTGTACGCATGGTCAGGGAATGCGAAGTGCATGTGTGCATAGTTGTGCTCAAGAATGTGTTGATGATTATACCTTCTCAGAATGAAGATAATGTGGGAGAGTCTTACCTGTCGCCAGGCTGGAGTACAGTGGCACTATCTCGGTTCACTGCAACCTCGGCCTCCCGAGTTCAAGCGGTTCTCCTGCCTCAGCCTCCCGAGTAGCTGGAACTACAGGCACATGCCACCACACCCGGCTAATTTTTTTGTATTTCAGTAGAGATGGCGTGACTACGCTGGCCAGGATGGTCTCGATCTCCTGACCTCGTGATCTGCCCGCCTCTACCTCCCAAAGTGCTGGGATTACAGGTATGAGCCACTGTGCCTGGCCTGAAGGTCACTTTTATAAAGATCTCTCCACATCTTAGATTTGAGTCTTCCTTTACATATTTTTCTCATTGACATTTGAAAGCACCTGACCATATAAATGAAGAATTTCGTAACTCCAAAAAGCGTAATTATGACATCATCTATTATTTCTGTCTCTTGTCTCCTGCAATCTAAACCATCAACCTCCTTATTTTTGTATACTGTCGCACTGTGTATTCCCTGCATTGAATGCCTTTCTATCGATATTCTGTAAAATTATGGGAAGTTTTCTGCACGCTAAATTTTCTGTTATGGGATTAATATCCACTATCCATGTTTTTCCAAGTTTTACAGCTGCAACAATAAATACAGCCTCACAGCAGCTCGTTGTTTGTCCTGCAATCTGTGTTTCCATCACATTACACGAAGCCTCTTTTGTCTTTGTGGTCGTACTCCTAATAAGTTTTTAAAAAATTATGTAATGTGTGTATATACAAATACCTATAGGTATGTGTGTACACATACAGCTGCTATCTAGTGAGATTATGCAGGCATGAAATATAGAATTAGCTTGTAATTTTAAGAAAATAAATTATTTTGTAAAGATAAATCTCATGTTTAAGCAGGGGAATTACAATGGAATCATTTAGGGATGGGTTTCAGCCTAAACATAATATGGAAAAAACCATAACCAAAAAGTCATGTTAGAGCACTGCTGGGTTATCAACTATCATCACATTTAATTAAAATGTTGTTTGAATCATGGCCAGTCTATTTTGATTAATATATTATTGAAATCAACTTGTGAAGTCTTCATTTTAAATATAGAATTTGTGTTAATGAACCGAAAATAACATTCCTGTTGCTTTGAAGACGTGTTAAGCCTAAAGATTTATGACTTTGTAAAAGAAGAAAACTAGCTGGTGATCAGTTGGCATTAGTATATATACTCATATTTGGTAATAGCCATTTTTTTTTCTAACTAGAATAAGTGGAGTTGTGAACGGAAGCAGAAACAAGGACACGTATGTATAAAAACCATAGAACAAAACTGCATTGAGTTCTGAGTATGGGTCTGTGATCCATGCTTCAGTTTTAGAGGTTCATGTGTTCCTTATGAGAAGGGACAGGAAAGCCAGGAGGACAGGAGTATGTTTGGGCCTGTGCCTGTGCTTCCACCACAGAAGTCAGCAGCTCTACCTTTCTCTTTTCTCTTCTTGATCTAATAATTGTCTCCCTCTCTTCAAATTCTGGGGGAAATGAGCTTAGTCAAAGGTTTGTTGCGTTATTGTTTGTTTGTTTTTGAAATGTGGCCTCAGTGTGTTGCCCAGGCTGGTCTTAAACTCCTGGGCTCAAGTGATCCTCCCTCTCAACCTCCTGAGTAGCTGGGACTACAGGTGTGCACCACCACACCCAGCTAAGTTAATGCTAATGTATAGTTGATCTGCTTCAGTTTTGAAGGGCAGGATGTATGTAGTTCTGTGTGTATGTGTGGGTAGTGCGTGTGTATATGTATACACACACACACACATATACACACCAAGACACCATCTCTTCAAAGAAGAAGGAATCTAGGGGCACTGTGTGTGCACACAGCATGGCTTGTGAATGCGACATGCATGTGTGCATAGTTGTGCTCAAGAATGTGTTGATGTGATTATACCTTTCTCAGAAATGAAGATAATGAGGTGGAGTCTTGCTCTGTCGCCAGGCTGGAGTACAGTGGCAGTATCTTGGTTCACTGCAACCTCTGCCTCCCGAGTTCAAGCGGTTCTCCTGCCTCAGCCTCCCGCGTAGCTGGGACTACAGGCACACGCCACCACACCCGGCTAATATATATTTGTGTGTGTATATATATATTTATTTATTACTAGTCCATTGCCGCTACAACAAACTACTACCATGTCAGGGTATAAAATAAATTGATTACACTCCTGTATGTCAGAGTCTGATGTGGATGTCCTCTGGGCTAAATCTAGGTGGTGGAAAGGCTACCTCTATCTCTAGAGGCTCTAGGGGAGAATCTTTTTCTCGTCTTTTCCAGAGTTCTGGAGTCTGCCTGCATTTTTTGGCTTTGGGCTCTTCTCCACTCTCACCATTAGCAACCTTGCATCTCATGGACCCTTCTTCTATGGCTACATGTCTCTGTGGCTCTTTCCTTCCCCCTTCTCTTCCACTGTTAAGGACTCATGTGCTTACTTAGTCCTGAATGGAGACGCCATCATCATCCACATGAGGCCACTGTCCTAATCCATACAGACTGCCACAAGGAAATGCACTAGACTGGGCAGCTTATAAACAACAGAACTTTGTTTCACAGTCCTGGAGGTTGAGTAAAGTACAAGATCAAGGTGCTGTAGTTTTGATGTCTGGAGAAGGTCTGCTTTCTCATAGAGGCTTCTCTTGCTGTGTCTTCACATGGTGAGAGTGAACGAATGTCCCTTGTGCCTTAATAAGGGTGCTAATCCCAGTCATGAGGGCAGAGTCTCCTGCAAGGCTTAACCTCCTAATACCATCACCTTGAGGTTAGATTTTAACACAAGAACATTGACGAACACAACGTCTTCCATAGCACCAGGGTGGTCTCCTCATGTCAAGGTCTTTACCTTAATCATATGTATGACATACCATTTTCATGTAGGGTTCTAGGAATCTGTGGACATCTTTGAAGGGCCATTATTTTGCTGACCACGTTATACATATATTTTAATATTCTAGACTAGTGTGAAAACAATGGCACTTCCATTGCTTTATATATGTGTATGTGTGTATATTTATGTATGTATATATATATAATATATATACATTATCTAATGCTATAATTAAAACTTGTAGACACAAATATATTCTTTTTTAAAAAAAACCTTTTTGCCATTTTACTTCATATTGCCAACTCCTTTTCTTGAAACTGCTTCAACCTCTGGATTCTATTTTGCTATTAGTTTTATTTTATTGAAATATTCATGAATGAGCATTGACTTGTATATGGATTTGAAAGTCATAGTAATGTTCTCATGAATCTGCCTGTGAGTAACATTTTATAGACAAACTGTCTGCACTCCAGGATCAGGACAAGAGGAAGATGTATAATTTCCTTGTTCTAAGGTACTCCATTCATTGTTTTTATTTTAAAAATGTTTATGGGTTGACTGATGTTAAAACACAAAAGGGGCCGAGAGTGATGGCTCCCGCCTGTAATCCTAACACTTTGGGAGGCCGAGGCAGGCAGATCACCTGAGGCTGGGAGTTTGAGATCAGCCTGGCTAACATGGTGAAACCCCATCTCTCCTGAAAATACAAAATTAACCAGGTATGGTGGCGCATGACTGTAATCCCAGTTACTCGGGAGGCTGAGGCAGGAGGATAACTTGAGCCCAGGAGGTGGAGGTTGGGGTGAGCCAAGATTGCGCCATTGCACTCCAGCCTGGGCGACAAGAATGAAACTCCATCTAAAAAAAAAAAAAAGAGGGTTCAGCAAGGTTGAGGTATTAAAGGGTTAATAGAATCATTTATTAATTACTTTGCACATCTGCAAGACATAATCTGAACATGAAATTAGAAAAACAAAATTTGTTGGGCAATAAAAGCAAAACTCGTCTCAAAAAATAAAAACAAAAAAAGAATAGGACTCACAGTGTCACTTGCCATCCAAGCTTGACTTCTACCTTTACTTTCTGATATAGTTTGGTTGTGTCTCCCACTCCAAATCTCAGCATGGTCTATAATCCCCATAATCCTCAGTGTCCAGGGAGGGGCCTGGGGAGGTGGGATTGGATCATGGGGACAGTTTTCTCATGCTGTTCTTGTGGTATTTCAGTGAGTCCTCATCACGAGATCTTACAGGATTTTGTTTTGTTTTGTTTTGTTTTGTTTTTTGGGATTGAGTCTTGCTCTCTCGCCCAGGCTGGAGTGCCATGGCGCCATCTTGGCTCACTGCAGCCTCTGCTTCCCTGATTCCAGCGATTCTCCTGCTTTTGGCCTTCTGAGTAACTGGGATTACAGGCATGCACCAGCACACTCAGCTAATTTTTGTATTTTTAGTAGAGATGGGATTTCACTACGTTAGCTAGGCTGGTCTCGAACTCCTGACCTCAGTCAGTCCACCCACCTTGGCTCTCCCAAAGTGCTAGGGTTACAGGTGAACCACCACTCAGCTGAGATCTGATGGTTTACATGTTTGACAGTTGCTCCTTCCACATGCTCACACTCTCTGTGCGCCACCATGTTAGTTGACCTGGTTCCTCTGCCATGATTATAAATTTCCTGAGGCCTCCCAGCCATGTGAAACTGTGAGTCAATTAAACTCCTCTTCTTATAAATTGCCCAGCCTCAGGTATTTCTTTATATCAGTGTGAAAACAGACTGGATATAATTTGATAATCATACTTGAAGAACTGGGGGATTCAGACTACCTGGGATCAAATTGTGGCCCCATCCTTAGCAGTCATGTGAGGTTACTTGAGGTTACTTACCTTCTCCATCTCAAGTTTTTCTATAAAACTTGTAAAATGAGATTGTTTCTGAGGGTTAAGTGAGCATAGCATGCGCGGATAATTGCCAAGCACACATTAGTTGCCAGATGTTGAGTATTATCTTTATTGAATTAGGATGGTGGTAACCCACTTTATGGCTCTCAATTTTGTATGACAAAATCATGCATAGTGCTTTGTTAGTGTGAAAGACAATCTGAAAGTCCCTGCCATGGAAGGAAAGAAAGAAGGAGAAAAGTGAGTTGGTAAGTTTCAGCATTTCAGAGCTTGGAGGGACAAGTTAGGTTTCTATTTTGTGGAGAAGGAGGTGGAGGCAGGATGGGTCCTAAGGTGTCATTCACACACACAGCCGTAACTCTTTATTGAGAATAGAGCTAGGGCCCCAGGGATTGCTGTGGTCAAGTTGCAGACAAAAATGACCACTCATTGGAAGACAGGAGAGGAGTGTTTAGTTACAAAAGCAGTCAGCCAGTCAGCTGCTCAGGTGTATCTACATTCAGTCAGCAAACAAAGTTGTTCAACTTGGTTACAATGGGACCCACTCACTGAGGCCTTTGGGGGGGTAGAACCCATAGAGGAAGATGGCTTCAAGTAACGAACTACCCTGTGCTTTTCTTAGGACTAAAAAGCTCAGGAAGCTGGTGATGGATGAAAACCTTAGTCCCACTGGCACTGCACGAGGCCAGGAGAGCAGCAACCTCATAAGCCACAGGTGGGCAGCCCAGGCAGGGCATTCTGAGCTGTTAGGAGGGGTGGGTAAGCTAGGGGTGGGGCACTGTGAGCTGTCAGGGAGGGCATTGTGAAGTGTGGGTGGGGCATTGTGTGCCACATGCCTAGGCTCCCCACCTGGGCCAGTGGGCTTCAGTCTGTAGGTGATCACAGAAGGAGGAGGAGCTCTGTCTGCTCCTCTCTGCAGGTTGTTGTGTCTCTCAGCGCTTTGTTGTCTACAACCTATTAAATAAGTCGATTGGTCTTCACGCTCCCAGACAAGTCAACTCAGGGAGGCGGTAGGTGCGGGCCTTGCCCGTAGCCGCGGCCAGGCCGGGCCATGGCCGGGCCTGTGAGGTGGGCAGGCGAGCAGCAGACAAGACCATTCCCTGCAAGTGCAGCATAGCCTTGGCCTAGATAGCAGGGAGTGTGTGGCCAAAGCTGTGAGCAGAGGCCCAGGTGGTGGCAGATATGCAGAGGCGCCCCATGGGAAATATACTGACCTGTTGTGTGTGGGCGCCTCTAAAGGGACCCTGAGTTTGACCAGCAACAGGGGTCCGGTGTCCCTCTCTGAATCTGAGATCTATGAGGCAGGAGCTGGGGACAGAATGGCAGGAGCTGGGGACGTGGATGGCAGGAGCTGGGGACAGGATGGGCAGGGGCACTGTGGCTGCCTGTGCAGCCTGCTGAGGTGACTGCTGAAGCTGGTGAGGACTCCACATGCACCACATCCATGACCGGGAGATGCCCAAAGGTAAGAAGGTGACGGTGCCATCTGCTCCCTCGGCTCTGCCTCTGCGCTGCTGTCCCTGTCCCCCTGGGAGGCACGCCACTTTGAGCTCCTTTCTGTCTGTAGCCAGCTTTCCCGGGATGGCTAGGAACAAGAGCTGGCTCTGCCTTGCATTCCCACCCCTTAGTCTCTTCCCCACCAAGTCCAGTCAGTTTCTTTTCGTTTCCTCGCAACGCCTGCCCTGCTCTTTATCTCATTCCCAGGCTGCCATGGGACCACGAGTTTATGGCTCTTCTTGTTGAATAAGCAGCTTAATAAATGAGTTGATCACTTACAAAATGATTACATCTTTCTTTCTTTCTCCTTCTATACATATAGCTTTGGAGTTTAACCCTTCTGCCAATCCAGAGGCAAGCACAATATTCCAGAGGAACTGTCAAACAGATGGTGAGACAACATTGTCTGTAGCTCTATGTATTATCCTGTGGGACTTTGCTGAGGCTTCTTTGGACTCTTTCTCTTCCTTTCTCAATAAAAACTCAAATATCCTAACTTTCCAGCACCCATCTTATTTTTACTTTGTACCTGTCCAGATGGTGCCCCAAGGAAGGAACCAGGTAAGTGCCTAATTGTTTCCTTTGTTGAAGTAGCTAAGTCTCAGGACAGTTCATATTCAGATATTCGGGGATTTCTTGTTGAAAATCAGAATGGAGGTTGCATATGGGAGGCTGTATGGCATTCTTAATGGGCTGCTGTAAGTCACCTTGATAGAGGCTGCTTAGTTTCTTCTAACGGTAATTTGAACGAGGTGGGTGGGGGGAAGAGGGTGCTTAAAATAATTGTGAAAGGTGCAAAAATGTCACAACCAGGGATGCAGAAAATGAACGTGTGTGGGGGAGGTTTATCAAAGAAGTTTGCCCATGAGGCTCTGATGACTTTAAAATTCTTACTTTAACACAAAATGTGTCTCCAGATTTATTCCGGTGACTTAACAGATTTTATTTACCTCCTTGTTCTGAAAGATAGGTGAGGTTCGTGGTCAGAACTTTCAAAAGACATGAAACATCAATGTAGACTTTTAATGTGTAGTATAAAGATTGCCGGTTAAAATCTCCGACCTTCCCTGTAAGAGTGTTTGTTGCCATGATTCCCCCTTTGTCCTTCCCTTCCTGACAATAGCATCTTGTTCAAAGATAAGAAAATTGGAGTTTTGGCCAGGCATGGTGGCTCACGCCTGTAATACCAGCACTTTGTGAGGCCGAGGCAGGTGGATCACTTGAGGTCAGGAGTTCAAGACCAGCCTGGCCAACATGGTGAAACCCCATCTCTACTAAAAATACAAAAAAATTAGCTGGGCATGGTGGCGCATGCCAGTCCCAGCTACTCTTGAGACTGAGGCAGGAGAATTGCTTGAACCCGGGAGGCAGAGGTTGCAGTAAGCAGAGATCACGCCAGTGCACTCCAGCCTGGGTGACAGAGCAAGACCCTGTCTCAAGCAAAATAAAAAAGAAAGTTGGGAGTTTTTCAGTCTCTACGCTGCTGGGAGAGGCAGGGGATGGGAGGCAGTAGAAAAGAGAAAACAGTTGATTTGCCTCTAAAATTTTGCGAAGAGATGAATCTAAGTAAAAGTAATTCTGGGTAGTAATATAGTTCTTGAATAAAAACTAAAATTTTCATGGAAAACATTGCATCACAACGAAATTAAATCCAGTTGGCTTATTGGTTTCATTTAAATGCCAGAGATTTCATTACTGTAGAGGAAATGTCTTGTAGCTCTTCTATTTGCAAACTTGGTTGGCCTAATTTTAAGAAGTAGGATAATTAAGACTCATGATGAGTGTGACTTTGTAACTTGGAAGTACTATCCTCACTTTTCAAAATATTTAAGGATTGCTTTAGAATAAACAAATATGTGAATTAATTGATTATACCTTTATACACAAAGCATGTAAGTACTTGTGTAAACTTATCCTCTGCTTACTGATGTAAGGAAAGCCTCTGAGTGATGTTACACACCAGTTAGTAGATGGGTAGTGTTGAGAGAGCCCCAAAATGGCTGTTTATTGTCATTCTTGTGATTACAACACAGTTTGTGTATGTTTCATTTGGCTCTTTCCAATATAAATAAGGCCTGTGTATGTTCTCCCTATGTATTGCTAATGAAGAAATGAAGACTTAGAGATATCACATGACTGTGGAAGACAGCTACTCAACAGAATTAAGGTTCTATGTCCTCAGAATGACATGGAAGTGACAGATATGCTGAATTTACTTTTGCAAATTTTTAAAAACTCTAGAATACATCTTATACTTTGCCTATAAAATAGACCTGTCTTTTAAAACTTACTGCCATCTTGATGTATTTTATGCAAAAAGTTGATTTTACACAACTCAAAGCCAGCATTTACTCTCTTTTTCTTTTTCTTCTTTCTTCTTTTTTTTTTTTTTTTTTTTTTTTGAATAAAGGTGGGTGTCACTATGTTACTCATGCTGGCTTCAAGTTCCTGACTTGAGTTCAAGTGATTTTCCCATCTCAGCCTTCTGAGTAGCTGGGACTACAAGCATGTGCCACCTTGCCTGGCTCTATCTTATGTCTATACATTCATTTCAATGGATAAGAATAAAAGTAGTGAAAATAGCCTAATGCAGCAGCTGAGTAAACGATTGATAAATTTTAGTAAATGATTACATCTTTTTCTTTTTCTCTATACATATAGCTTTTGGATTTTAACCTTCTGCCAATCCAGAGGCAACCACAATATTCCAGAGGAACTCTCAAACAGATGGTGAGACAACATTGCTTTTTCCACTAAGAGAAAGAGTAAAAACTCTTGTTTGATCAGCTGTATTTTAGGAAGTATTTAGAAAAACTCATATTGGTTTAAATTTTTCAACTTTTCACATATTCACTTGTCTTATTTTAACATGTGATATACTTTCCTTTAGTTATCTTGTTAGTGAAAACGTGTAAACTTTTTGTTTATACATTTTGCCATCTTTTTATCAACACAATTAATTTGTCATGTGATGGAGGAGTCATGGATTTCTCTTTATTCATAATTCTTGGCCCTTTTCCTTGCTCCAAAGAGTACATTTTAAAGATGAATGATAGAACTTAGGCTTCAGCTTGGTTTTCTTTAAACAAATTAAAAAACATAGTTGTTTATTATCGGAAATTGAATCTGTGATTTGGGCCTTCTCACAGTCCTCTGACCACATTCATTTACCACATCCAAGTTCATGCTACTCAAAATTTTTAAGTTATTAACCCTTCTTACTTGATGTAATGTCAATTTAAACATGCCCTACTCCTGCTTATTTTCCTTAAAGTTATCATTAAATCCTCGCGTATTTGCTAAAAAGCCATGCACAACCAAGTTTTCCAGTTGAAACAGCAAGAATACAAGTGAGGGTTCTACAATAATATGTAAAGTAATGCAGCACAGTAAAACATGGAGCTTGTAACCTTTGTTTTTATAGTTTGAGTAGACTTTGCCCATCTTGAGTCAGTTATTTCTGATTAGAATTTGTGTTCATTTACATTACTATAAAGAGAGATACCTAAGGCTGTAATTTATAATAAAAAGAGGTTTAATTGGCTCATAGATCTTCAGGCTGCATAAACATGGCTTCAACATCTGCTTCTGGTGAGGGCCCCAGCAAGCTTACAATCATGATAGAAGTACAGGGAAGCAGGTGGTTCCACACTGTGAAAGAGGGAGGAGAGAGGGGAAGGGGGAAGGTACCACACTCTTTTTTTTTTTTTTTTTTTTGAAATGAAGTCTCGCTCTGTTGCCCAGGCTGGAGTGCAATGGAGCAATCTTGGCTCACTACAACCTCCACCTCCCAGGTTCAAGCAATTCTCCTGCCTCAGCCTCCTGAGTAGCTGGGACTATAGGCGGGCACTATAACACCTGGCTAATTTTGTATTTTTGGTATAGACGGGTTTCACCATGTTGGCCAGGCTGGTCTCAAACTCGTGACTTCAGGTGATCCGCCTGTTTGAAGCCCTGTACTGGGATTACAGGCTTGAGCCACCGCACCTGGCTGGTACTCACAGTCTTTAAACTACCATAATGAGAATTTGCTTATTACCAGGGATGGGACCAAGCCATTCATAAGGAACTCTCACATTACCCAAACACCTCCCACTAGGCCCTGTCTCCAACATTAACGATCCTATGTTAACATGAGGTTTGGAGGGGAACATATCCAACACATATCAGAATTGTATTTCCTAGCTCCCTTCCCTGAGCCATGGCTTTCTCACCTAGAGAGTATGGAAGCGGTAAAAGAAAAGCTATTCCATGTCCCTCACTCTTCAGTGGTAGGAACTTTTGCCTACAAGGCCCTTCCAGTAATCAAAGGCAGAGGCAATGTAGGAAATAAAGCATGGCCCAAGTCCTCTTGGGGCTTTTATTATTCTGGCCTTTTTTAGAAAAACAAAAATGATTTTTTTGAAAGGCAGACAATATGTCCAATTAGGTTTGTATACTTATTTTACAATTAAAATTACTTAAAGGCTCTGTGGCTTACACCTGTAATCCCAGCTCTTTGGGAGGCCGAGGAGGGTGGATCCTGAGGTTAGGAGATCAAGACCATCCTGGCTAATGCAGTGTAACCTCCTCTGCTAAAAATACCAAAAAAAAAAAAAAAAAAAATTAGCTAGGCGTGGTGGCACGGCCTGTAGTCCCAGCTTGTCGGGAGACTGAGGCTGGAGAATCACTTGAACCTGGGAGTCAGAGAGGTTGCAGTGAGCTGAGATCCCACCACTGCACTCCAGCCCAGGTTACAGAGTGAGATCTATCTCAAAAAAAAAAAAAAAAAATTAGGATACATTACTTTGGAGTTGTGTAAAGACCTCTTTTTTGTTTTGTTTTGTTTTGTTTTGTTTGTTTTGTTTTTTGAGACGGACTGGCTCTGTCCCAGGCTGGAGTGCAGTGGCCGGATCTCAGCTCACTGCAAGCTCCGGGTTTACGCCATTCTCCTGCCTCAGCCTCCCGAGTAGCTGGGACTACAGGCCCGCCACCGCCCCGGCTAGTTTTTTGTATTTTAGTAGAGACGGGGTTTCACCGTGTTCGCCAGGATGGTCTCGATCTCCTGACCTCGTGATCCGCCCCGCCTCGGCCTCCCAAAGTGCTGGGATTACAGGCTTGAGCCAATACGCGCCCGGCCGCTTTGTTTTGTTTTTAGTGACACAGTAGATAACCACTAAGTGTGGTTCAAGATGCTTACAGGGATTCTGTTGCATCTAGAGATAGGTGCCTGGTCAGGAAGTAGTTCTTAGAGCTGTTAGCTCTTAGCTTCTGATAATTAAAGTAAGCTATGTGTAAATACAGAAATGTAGAGAGAATAATGATCATGGCTTATATATGCAACAGTTAAACTTTTTTATTAGCTAAGATTTTCATCTGGCCTAATTTTTTTACTCCTTTTTTGTACATGAGGATTCCTTCATTTGTGTATGTAATAGAAACAAAAAGGTAAAGTAGATGAAAAGCTAAGTTTTTAAATTTGATTTTATGACATTAATCGTATGATAATTTAAATTACGACTTTATTGAAAATAGGTTTTTTAAATGGAATTTTGTCTCATTTTACATAGGAGTAATCACCAAGATGTTAACAACTACTTTTATGTTATGCTATTTGTATCAGAAGTGACCAGTTTTTTTTTTTTATTCTTAGTTGTAGAAATAAGAAGAAGCAATTGTACAAACCATGTAAGTAAACAGTCAAATAGTTAAGAAATTGATAATTTGACAAAGTTGTCTCTCTTTTGATTTCTTTAAATTCACAATGTGGACTCAGTGGTGGTGGAAGCGTGACCTCTTTTTTGTGGATTTTCTAAATCTCTTCTCTTTTCCTAAGTATTAAATTTATCTAGAAAAGTCTTTAGTTTAGTGTGTCCACCTTTTAAGGATGTCTGATATTTAAGTTACATTTCAATAGTCTGGTTATGGTAAAGATTCATTTTTTAAGGCTGGGCATGCAGCTCATGCCTGTAATCCCAGCACTTTAGGAGGCCGAGGTGGACGGATCATCTGAGGTCAGGAGTTCGAGACAACCGTGACCAACATGGTGAAATTCTGTCTCTACCAAAAATACAAAATTAGCCAGATGTGGTGGCGCATGCCTGTAATCTCAGCTACTCAGGAGGCTGAGGCAGGAGAATCACTTGAACCTGGGAGGCAGAGGTTGCAGTGAGCCGAGATGGTGCCACTGCACTGCAGCCTGGACGAGAGTGAAACTCTGTCTCAAAAAAAAAAAAATACAAACCAAAAACACTACCTTACATATTTAATCTTATAATAATGAAATAAAAATAGAATAAGTTAATGCCAGTAGCCTGTCTACTGATTGTCTATCACAGCAGGTGAAAGCATACCTTCTCGCTACACCAAGGATCTTTGTTCCTCCCCTCTGTTTCTTCCACCAGCACACTTTTTTCATTAAATCAATAATATTTACATGATTATGACTTGCAAATATTATCTAATGCTAAGTCATATGGTGTTTTCACTGTGCCTCTGCATTACATGTCCTTCACTCCTGTCTCTGAAACAGTTCTGAAATCTGGAGCACTTCTGCAATCGGATCTTCTCTTTTTCCTTAGCCGATGTGAGTTTATCCATCCAGATATAGTAAGGAGCCTCTCTGTGGTCTGTTTGTTACATCCATTATTTTTCAGCATGAAGCATCTTTTCTGACTATTTCATTTGCCTATTTTCTAACAGCTGTTTTTCCTGTTGTAGCATTTATCACATGCCTTTCAAAGATATTTTCTGTCGTGAAAAACATTTGTTCCTTTTTTTTCTTTGTAGAGTGGCAATCTCGGCCTTTGTCATCCTAGCTCAATATAGAGTGGCTTTCCCTAGATATGCTCGATGTCTACTTTTCAGTGCTATCTCCTTAAAGTCTTTTGGGGATCTTAACTGCAGAACGTAATCGTTTCTCGTGGCACGCCTGAGTCCCTGATTCTGTGTTTCCTCTCTGTCCTGTTATCCTCTAGTTGTACTTACACATTTTCCTGGGTGGAGATGTTAGGAGAGCTGGCCAATCTTAAAATCTTCCTCTTTGATAGAGAGTACATCTCTTAGGTTGAATCTAAATTTATGGTTCTGAAGACATTTCAGTTGTGCTCTAAATTACAGTGTTATTCTTTAATCTATTTCCAGTGTGTGATATACATTATTTACACCCAGGTTTGTGTAGCTGTGGAAGCTTTTAGGATCTTCTATATCTCTGAGGTTCTTAAATTTTTATAACAGCCAGGAGCTAGCACAGAGGCTCATGCCCGTAATCCCTGCACTTTGGGAGGCTGTGGTGGGTGGATCACAAGGACAGGAGTTCGAGACAAGTCTGGCCAATACGGTGAAACCCCATCTCTACTAAAAATACAAAACTAACGAGGACTGGTATGAGCCTGTAGTCCCAACTACTTGGGAGACTGAGGCAGGAGGAAGACTTGAACCGAGGAGGCGGAGGTTGCAGTGAGCCCAGATTGCACCACTGCACTCCAGCCTGACAATAGAGTGAGACTTCCATCACAAAAAAACAAAACAAAAAACAGTCACAGCTTGGTGGGATCTTCATTTTTTTGAGACTACTAAACCCGTGACTATCTCTTCTTGAGAATTTTTATGTTCCGCGGCTTTTTATCGATAGTCTTGTTATTCAGATGCTAGGCCTGCTAGACCAGCATACAGACACTGGTTTTTAATTTTTTCCCCTTCTGTTTCTTCAGTCTTGTTCTTTTTATTCCACTTCTGGGATATTCTGTCATTTTATCCTCTACATTTTTATTCAATTTTATATTTTTGAGAGTATTTTCAGATTTTGTTTTAAAGTTTTGCTCCTGATTTTGACTGGTCTCATGAATTCCTTCTTTCTGTTGTTTTGATCTCTTTTGTTGGAGGCTTCCCTCCAATGTGTGGTGGTCCCTGGTCTGCTGTATTTGGAAGCAGGACTTCTGTTAACTGATAGTCCTCAGTGTGAGGTTTTTCTGGCTCAGAGATACCAAGTGGCCTAAACTCTGGAGCATATGGTTTGGGATGGGAATTGTGTTGAATTTGCATTGCTTTTGCAGTATGGTCCTTTCACAATATTCATTCTACCGATTCATGAGCATGGGATGTCTTTCCATTTGTTTGTGTCCATGATTTCATTCAACTATGTTTTGTAGTTCAAAGGTATATCAAAGAAATAATCCAACCTGGCTATAACTCCACCTGTAATCCCAGCACTTTAGGAGGCCGAGGCGGGTGGATCACGAGGTCAGGAGTTTAAGACCAGCCTGGCCAACATGGTGAAACCCTGTCTCTACTAAAAATACAAAAATTAGCTGGGTATGGTGGTGCATGCCTGTAATCACAGCTACTCAGGAGGCTGAGGCAGGAGAATTGCTTGAACCTGAGGTGGAGGTTGCAGTGAGTCACATTAGCACCACTGCATGATTCCAGCCTGGGTGACAGAGCAAGACTCCATCTCAAAATAATAATAATATTAATCCACCATGATCAAATGGTTTATACCAGAATACAGGATTGGATTAACATACACAAGTCAATGAATGTGATACACCACATAAACAGAATTAAAAACAAAAAATCACATGATCGTCTCAATAGACACAGAAAAAGCATTTGAAAGAATGCAGCATCCTTCTATGATTAAAACCCTCAGCAAGATCGGCATACAAAGGCCATACCTCAATGTAATAGCCATCCATGACAAACCCATAGCCAACATAATACTGAATGGGGAAAATTTGAAAGCATTCCCCCTGAGAACTGGAACAAGACAAGGATCCCCACTCTCACCATTTATTATTTTATTTTATTTTATTTTATTTTCAAACATAGACTTTACTAAATGCTGCTCAATCCCCCAGTGAAGATCTTTCATTACAAAACAATTTTCCACACAACTGCAAGTTAAGAGATTGGAATGGTACTCTGATAACAAAAGATGTGAGAAATACTTCACCAAGTAAAAACAGAAAAGACCTCTATGTAGTCAACCTTTTCAGAGCTCTACAGAGGAAGCCTAGTGTGCTTCGTTTAAATAAAGCCAGGCAGTGACAACTAGTGCTCTGTATCACCACACTGTGGGACTCAAAGCCTCCATCCCTAGGTCAGGAGGGACTAGGTGAAGGGCATGTCGTGAGGACTGGAAAGGCCCTGCCTTCAGCCTTTGAGAGGAGGAGGAGGAATGAGTTGAGAGGCAAGCTGGGTAATTCACCTGAGCTGCCTCTAACCATCTGTTACCACTCTGGGGAATTGCAGAGGAAGGGGGATATTCATGAGGAACAATCTGAAGAATTTTGGTTTACTTTCCCAGCTTTTATTTATATTTTGTGCTTTAAAAAGCCTGGAGATTTAAGGTTTTGTCTAAATTCCAGGGTACAGTAATATATTTCTTGAGGGGGGGGTTAGGGCAGGTAATTCCCCCATCATATTTCTGGGTGAGACAAAGAGAAGGGTAAGGATGATACCTTAGTTTTATTGTAGGAAGTATTCTTTTTCCTAGGATGTAACTAAGGTTTGCAGCAGTCATTCTCAACACTTCTATTCAACATAGTACTGGAAGGTCTAGCCAGAGCAATTACACAAGAGAAAGCAATAAAAGGCATCCAGATCGGTAAAGAGGAAGTCAAACTGTTGCTGTTTGCTGATGATATGATCATATACCTAAGAAACCCTAAAGAGTCTTCCCTAAAGCTCCTAGAACTGATAAATGAATTCAGGAAAGTTTCAGGAGACAAAATTAATGTACACAAATCAGTAACTCTATTATACCCCAACAGCAACCAAGCTTAGAATCAAACCAAAAACTCAACCCCTTTTATGATAGCTGCAAAAATGAAATAAAATAAAATACTTAGGAATAGACCTAACGACGGAGGTGAAAGACCTCTATAAGGAAGACAACATTAGTGTTTTTAATGGGTTAAAATGAGAGGCAGCAGGTACAGTGGAAGAAATCAGTGGGTGGGCCTCGGCGTGCAACAGGTACTGGACCTTTGATGGTAAGGCTTTTTTTTTTTTTTTTGGACTTAGTAAGTTACTAGGTACTATTATTTTCTAGTTTTTGTCACTAAACCTTAAAACGACTAAGTGACTGCTTCCATTTATTGTTGAAGAGCCTAAAATTTCATACTCTAATTTATGCTGACTGATGTTAGATTATTTGTTTCCATTTTGTGACTACCTTAAATAATACCTATAAATAATAAACTGTTAGTAATGTTTTTGCTGTAATTGAATGTAGTAAGATTTATCTTCCAAATGATAACCGAATTGTCAAACACTTGTCAAAGTTTTGGATTTACTCAAAATTCTATGCTCAGCAGCTGGAGGTAGGAAGAGTAGGGCCCTCCCTTACTCTTATGGAGAGGCATACTTCCTCATGAGGGGAATACTCTGCAAGAATTGGTATCTTGTTAGCAGTGGTGACTTCAACTAACTAGTGTTCAAAAAAACATGTATTGGTGTGGCTGCCAACAAAGAGATCCAAGAGGGTAGATGGAGTCGAGTTTGCTGAAACAAGGAAAGAGAAAAGCAGTATTCTAGGCAGAGAGCAGGGCTAGAGCAGGAAAATGGCTAGATGCAGGTCAGATGGTTTATAGAATGAAATTGATCAAGTTTTGAAATGAATGGAAAATATTCTCTGAGAGTCTCGTTTGAGTCATGTCATGGCAGTCTTATTTAAATATGAAGTGAAAGTTAGCTTTTTAAGTTGTCATGTGTTTTCAGGGTGTGAGAGAATATTTAAGTGATACTCTTTTTATCCTCCACATAAGAAAATAGGACTAGAGAAACCTATGGCTTCCTCGCTTGTTGGTGGCCTAGCAGCCCTGGCATACAGAGCCTCTGAATCTGAAACACTTGTTTTGTCCCAATATCATCTGAAATAATACATTTAGGATGAGTAATTTAGTAAATGCATTAGTCTTGTATTCACTGCAATAAAATGCTCTTGTACCAGTATTATTTAATGCATTACATTTTATCGTAGTAAATAAATAATAGAAATAGAAATTCTCAGCTGCTTTATCTTGCTGTAGAAAAAAACAATGAAATCTTATTTTAAACTTTTCTCATGATTTTTAAAGATAATTCATAAAATCCATGTTAGGTTTGATGGCAGGTACCATATGAAGGGCAGCATTTTATAACCCGTATCTTAAACATCGTCTCTGGAAGTTAAGAGCCTCCAATGGGTTTTCTGTAGAGTGCACATGATACCGCACTCAGGCAGTTCATGGAGTGTAAGAAATATCTTAGTGCTTTGTCATTTGACATTTTAACCAAGAAAAAAATACACTTTGATAAGTTTAGCTTATACTTCCCTTCCCCTTCAGGTATCTACTGTGCGTTTCAGTCAACAATACAGCTCATGTTCGACAATATTCCTTGGTGACAGCACAGCCAGCCAGCCTTATCTTAACAATGACAATAATATCGTGAGTACAACTATACTGCCAAGGGACGGATTCCTTTATTCTAAAATTATTTCAGCCATTTGGTTGTCCTCTTCCACAATCAGTTTAAGAAATTAGAATCAACTATATATTGATATCCAGATTCTAAATATTAAGTATCAATTTCTCTTTTAATCTTAGACGTCCTGGTGGAAGGAAAAAATCAGTTAGCAGAGAAGCAATCCCAGAAACAGTGTATCTTTTTTGATGCCTTTATGCCTTTAGACAATGTTGAACACAGTGAGAAGGATAGGTTCCCTTTATTGAATGTTTTTGTGAAAACTTAGTGTTTCAATGCATTATAGGCCTAAATCAGTGTGTACTACTTTGGACATTAGCCTGGGAAGAAGGAACAGCTTTTCCTCTTCTGGCACCACAGTGTATCTGCATTTGAATTTCTCTCATTGTGCATGAGCACCTCGTGGGCCACAAAGATGCACTTTGAGAGCACCCTGAGATGAAGTTTATTTTAAAAGGAACAACCAACACCAGCACCAGCTCCATAGGGGCTGTCCAGTGTACATTATTATCATCTCCTTGGGTTATGAGTATTGATTTTTAGAACACAATTTGGAAAGTGCTAATTTATTAGAACACAGTTTGGAAAGTGCTAATTTAGAATATTAATGTCTTTAATTTTACTATTCATTCTGTGAACATAACTAGCTTATAAACAATTTTGTTTCAAATGCACTAGCCTTTTTAGCGAATTCAATTGTCAGTAACTTTTACTGCAATTAAAAATGGCAAGTTTACACTCATAATAATGTCACTTTTCTCCTTCCCTTTTAACAATAGTTATGATGAAATTGTGTTTCAGCAAAAACTGGACTCAAACTCTGTCTCAAGTCCTGAGCTTTGGGACCTATTGAGTAATCACTAAATGTCGGTAGTCAGCCGAGTCTCTTAAATCTTCGAGCGCACATACACCAAAACAACTTCGACTAGAGTCCCTGGCTTCTTTTGAGTTCAAAAGATTTTGATGTGTTAGCATACAATTCAAAAGTAGCTTTGAGGATTAATCTTGCTCAAACAAATTTCATGCTTTTTTTCTCATTATTCTACTTTGTAGAAGTCTACTTTTGAAAGTAAAGTCAGTTTTAATTTGCCATCAGCAAGTCTGAGAAATAATCATTTGGTATATTAACTATTGGTGAAATTAAGGTTTATTGAGCAAATTAATAGGGCAAATTGGCTTCAAGAAAAGATTTTGAAAAATGTTTATGATGAGTCAGTAGTGCAGTGTTGTCAGTGGGATAGGTGGAACTCATGGAGATCACTTATGCAAGGTTTTTTTTTTTTTTTCAAAAATACAGGTCTGCAAACACACGTATCTTCCCATCTTCACTTTCCCTCTATCTCTAGGCACTGAGAAGGCTTTTAGGAAAATAGGGATGGATGTGAGGCATCTCTGTGTGAAGAAAGGCATCCCAGAAGATTTTGATTTTCATCCCAGCTCAATCATTCCAAACTTTGCTGCACGTTAAAATCACCTGAGATGCTTTAATAACTGACTCATCTTCAACATGAGACATTTTAATTCCATTAGTGTTGGGTATGAGTTTGGGCATCAAGGTCGTTGGTAAAAGTTTCCCAGGTGATTTCAATGTGCAGCAAAGTTTGAGAGCCACGGCTTCATTTGCGTTTAGGAGGAGAAACTGCTCCTATTTGGTGGGATTTTGGGCAAGTGAGTTTTAAGGTTTGTTTCCCTGATCTGTAAAATGAGTGTTGAATTAAAGGTCATGTAAGGTCATTGGTGCTTTCCAGCACGTAACTTTAAATTCCGTGATTGTGAAATTATTTCAGGGATGAAAACTACTTGCAGCACTATAGACATATCCATCTTACATGCTAATGTTTCAGGCGTTTTAACAAGTGCTAATATTGTGTAGACCTATTAACTAAAATTGAGATTTTCCTTCCCTCAGTTGTTTTGAGCCTCATTTTACAAAATTAGCTGGGTGTGGTTGCACATTGCTGTAATCCCAAATACTCGGGAGGCTGAGGCAGGAGAATTGCTTGAACCCGGGAGGAAGAGGTTGTGGTGAGCCGAGATCATCACCATTGCACTCCAGCCTGGGCAACAAGAGCAAGACTCTATCTCAAAAAAAAAAAAAAAAAAAAAAAAAATTACCTAGGCATAGTGGTACAAACCTGTAATCCCAGCTACTTGGGAGGCTGAGGCATGAGAATCGCTTGAACCTGGGAGGTGGAGGTTGTGGTGAGCCAAGATCGCACCACTGCACTGGAGTCTGAGCAACAGAGCCAGACTCTAAGTCAAAAAATAAATAAATACATAAAATAAATCGCATGGGATGAAAGGCATTGCGGGTAGAAGAGCATATAACAGGGAAATCTGTTATTTATATATTATAATCGTCAACAGAAACGCGTCTCCTAACAGCATATTGCCTCGCGTTTTGGTTCTCATATTTTTGCAAAAACCCAAGAAATGAAACAAAGTGCCCTTATGGTGCTGTTCTGAACTAGAAGATTTGAATTTCAGGGCCTCTAGGAGAGTTTCCTCTGCCCCATTTTAAAAAGTGTCTTCAGGCCTAACAAATGATAACATCTATTGTTTTTTTTTTTTTTTGAGACGGAGTCTGGCTCTGTCGCCCAGGCTGGGGTGCAGTGGCCGGATCTCAGCTCACTGCAAGCTCCGCCTCCCGGGTTTACGCCATTCTCCTGCCTCAGCCTCCCAAGTAGCTGGGACTACAGGCGCCCGCCACCTCGCCCGGCTAGTTTTTTGTATTTTTTAGTAGAGACGGGGTTTCACCGTGTTAGCCAGGATGGTCTCGATCTCCTGACCTAGTGATCCGCCCGTCTCGGCCTCCCAAAGTGCTGGGATTACAGGCTTGAGCCACCGCGCCCGGCCACATCTATTGTTATGAATTGTTTTTCCTTTCACAGAGTGACTTTGGAGATACATCATGATATCACGCAAAGGTGAGCTTTTTAGAAACCTGTCTTGTTATTCTAGCTAATTACTTTGCAAGATATCAAGCTCAGTGTTAGGTCACAGCTCTAGACATCATAAGTTGTATTGTGCCTGCTAAAATATTGAAGCAAATTATTTGTGTTTTCTTTGTTCCTTAAGACTCTTTAAATTTTTAAATGATTGAGAGTCTCAAAGAGTATGTGTTTATATTGATTATATTGATATTTACTGTGGTAGAAATATAACATTGAGTTTTTTTTCAAAATCTATTTTTAGTTTAGATTTCACAGCCTTACCACTGTTGATATTATGAGCTAGATAACACTTTGTTGTGAGGACTGTCCTGTGTATTGCAGAGAGTTGAGCAGCATTCATGGCCACTACCAACTAGATGTCAGTAGTAACCCATGGCCCAGGTTGTGACAACAGAAAATATTCCTAGAGAACAATATTGTTAACAGAAATTTTTCATCGAAAAAGTAACTTTTCTACAACAAAAAGTGGAGTAAAAAGTGTGTCATGTATTTATATTATTTAAAGTCTCATGTTGACCTTCATAGGAGACAACTGGATTCTCTAGATCTTTCTTTGCAATGTGCTCTAAAGCAGCAATAAGAGACCGGGCGGGGTGGCTCAGGCCTGTAATCCCAGCACTTTGGGAGGCCGATGCGGGCGGATCGCAAGGTCAGGAAATCGAGACCATCCTGACTAACACTGTGAAACCTGTCTCTACTAAAAATACAAAAACTTAGCTGGGCATGGTGGCATGCGCCTGTAGTCCCAGCTACTCTAGAGGCTGAGGCAGGAGAACTGCTTGATCAGGGAGACGGAGGGTGCAGTGAGCTGAGATCACACCACTGCACTCCAGCTTGGGTGACAGAGCAAGACTCCATCTCAAAAAAAAAAAAAAAAAGAAAGCAATAAGACGGCTGGGTGCGGTGGTTCACACCTGTAATCCCAGCACTTTGGGAGGCTGAGGTGGGCAGATCACTTGAGGTCAGGAGTTTGAGACCAGTCCGATCAACATGGTGAAACCCGCCTCCACTGAAAGTACAAAAAATAGCTGGGCGCAGTGGTGCATGCCTGTAGTCCCAGCTACTTGGGTGGCTGAGGTAGGAGAATCGCATGAACCCAGGAGGCGGAGGTTGCAGTGAGCTGAGATCTCACCATTGCAGCCCAGCCCGGGCGACAGAGGGAGACTCCGTCTCAATACAAGAAAATAAGAAGCAATAAAGTGACTTAACCTCATGCAAATATGTAGTTGGTAAAAGGGGTATTTTTAAAGTTTTCAGACAGTTGTGGGTATTCTCTAATACTAAATCAAAACTTCACAAGTGCTAGTTTCTTAAATTAGTCATGGTGGCATTTTCCATATTAATAAATGTATTCCCTCAGTACTCATTGATCTTTCTTGCACAGTAAATGGATCTTTTGCCCCATACTTGCATTTATAATATTATGCATTAATTACTTGGAATATATTGGTTTATGTTTTATTGTGTCAAAAATCACTTTTAATTTAACCACCAATCTTTAAAACACTTTTAAGAATTGAAAAGCTGTCCAGCCTACAGTAGAAGGAACAAGTTTTTCTTTTCTTTCCTTTTTCATTTTTTTTTTTAAATTATACTTTAAGTTCTAGGGTACATGTGCACAGTGTGCGGGTTTGTTACATATGTATACATGTGCCATGTTGGTGTGCTGCACCCATTAACTCATCATTTACATTAGGTATATCTCCTAATGCTATCCCTCCCCCCTCCCCCCACCCTACAATAGGCCCCAGTGTGTGATGTTCCCCTTCCTGTGTCCAAGTGATCGCATTGCTCAATTCCCACCTATGAGTGAGAACATGCAGTGTTTGGTTTTCTGCTCTTGTGATAGTTTGCTGAGAATGATGGTTTCCAGCTGCATCCATGTCCCTACAAAGGACACGAACTCATCCTTTTTTCTGGCTGTATAGTATTCCATGGTGTATATGTGCCACATTTTCTTAATCCAGTCTGTCACTGATGGACATTTGGGTTGATTCCAACTCTTTGCTATTATGAATAGTGCCGCAATAAACATATGTGTGCATGTGTCTTTATAGCAGCAAGATTTATAATCCTTTGGGTATATACCCAGTAATGGGATGGCTGGGTCATATGGTATTTGTAGTTCTAGATCCTTGAGGAATCGCCATAGTGTTTTCCACAATGGTTGAACCAGTTTACAATCCCACCAACAGTGTTTCCTGACTTTTTAATGATTGTCATTCTAACTGGTATGAGATGGTATCTCATTGTGGTTTTGATTTGCATTCCTCTGATGGCCAGTGATAACGAGCAGTTTTTCTTGTGTCTGTTGGCTGTATGAATATCTTCTTTTGAGAAGTGTCTGTTCATATCCTTTGCCCACTTTTTGATGGGGTTGTTTGTTTTTTTCTTGTACATTTGTTTGAGTTCTTTGTAGGTTCTGGATATTAGCCCTTTGTCAGATGAGTAGATTGCAAAAATTTTCTCCCATTCTGTAGGTTGCCTGTTCACTCTGATGATAGTTTCTTTTGCTATGCAGATGCTCTTTAGTTTAATGAGATCCCATTTGTCAATTTTGGCTTTTGTTGCCATTGCTTTTGGTGTTTAGACGTGAAGTCCTCGCCCATGCCTATGTCCTGAATGGTATTACCTAGGTTTTCTTTTAGGGTTTTTATGGTTTTAGGTCTAACATTTAAGTCTCTAATCCATCTTGAATTAATTTTCATATAAGGAGTAAGGAAAGGATCTAGTTTCAGCTTTCTACTTATGGCTAGCCAATTTTCCCAGCACCATTTATTAAATAGGGAATCCTTTCCCCATTTCTTGTTTTTTGTCAGGTTTGTCAAAGATCAGATGGCTGTAGATATGTGGTATTATTTCTGAGGCCTCTGTTCTGTTTCATTGGTCTATATCTCTGTTTTGGTACCAGTACCATGCTGTTTTGGTTACTGTAGCCTTGTAGTATAGTTTGAAGTCAGGTTGCGTGATGCCTCCAGGTTTGTTCTTTTGTCTTAGGATTGTCTTGGCAATGCGGGGTCTTTTTTGGTTCCATAGGAACTTTAAAGCAGTTTTTTCCAATTCTGTGAAGAAACTCATTGGTAGCTTAATGGGAATGGCATTGAATCTATAAATTACCTTGGGCAGTGTGGCCATTTTCAGGATATTGATTCTTCCTATCCATGAACAAGGTGTGTTCTTCCATTTGTTTGTGCCCTCTTTTATTTCACCGAGCGGTGGTTTGTAGTTCTCCTTGAAGAGGTCCTTTACATCCCTTGTAAGTTGGATTCCTAGGTATTTTATTCTCTTTGAAGCTATTGTGAATGGGAGTTCATGATTTGGCTCTCTGTTTGTCTGTTACTGGTGTATAAGAATGCTTGTGATTTTTGCACATTGAATTTGTATCCTGAGACTTTACTGAAGGTGTTTATCAGCTTAAGGAGATTTTGGACTGAGATGATGGGGTTTTCTAAATATACAATCATGTCATCTGCAAACAGGGAAAGTTTGACTTCTTCTTTTCCTAACTGAATACGCTTTATTTCTTTCTCTTGCCTTATTGCCCTAACCAGAACTTCCAACACTATGCTGAATAGGAGTGGTGAGAAGGGCATCCCTGTCTTGTGCCAGTTTTCAAAGGGAATGCTTCCAGTTTTTGTCCATTCAGTATGATATTGGCTGTGGGTTTGTCATAAATAGCTCTTATTATTTTGAGATACGTTCCATCAATACCAAATTTATTGAGAATTTTTAGCATGAAGGGGTTTTGAATTTTGTCAAAGGTCTTTTCTGCATCTATTGAGATAATCATGTGTTTTTTTCTTTGGTTCTGTTTATATGCTGGATTATGTTTATTAATTTCCATATGTTGAACCAGCCTTGCATCCCAGGGATGAAGCCCACTTGATCATGGTGGATAAGCTTTTTGATGTGCTACTGGATTCGGTTTGCCAGTATTTTATTGAAGATTTTTGCATCGATGTTCATCAGGGATATTGGTCTAAAATTCTCTTTTTCTGTTGTGTCTCTGGCAGGCTTTGGTATCAGGATGATGTCGGCCTCATAAAATGAGTTAGGGAGGATTCCCTCTTTTTCTCTAGATTGGAATAGTTTCAAAAGGAATGGTCCCAGCTCCTCCTTGTACCTCTGGTAGAATTCGGCTGTGAATCCATCTGCTCCCGGACTTTTTTTGGTTGGTAGGCTATTAATTATTGCCTCAATTTCAGACCGTATATTGGTCTATTCAGGGATTCAACTTCTTCCTGGTTTAGTCTTGGGATAGTGTAAGTATCCAGGAAATTATCCATTTCTTCTAGGTTTTCTAGTTTATTTGCATAGAGGTGTTTATATATTCTCTGATGGTAGTTTGTATTTCTGTGGGGTCGGTGGCGATATCCCCTTTATCATTTTTTATTGTGTCTATTTGATTCTTATCTCTTTTCTTCATTAGTCTTGCTAGCAGTCTATCACTTTTGTTGATCTCTTCAAAAAACCAGCTCCTGGATTCATTGATTTTTTGGAGGGTTTTTTGTGTCTGTATCTCCTTCAGTTCTGCTCTGATCTTAGTTATTTCTTGCCTTCTGTTAGTTTTTGAATGTGTTTGCTCTTCCTTCTCTAGTTCTTTTAATTGTGATGTTAGGGTGTCAATTTTAGATCTTTCATGCTTTCTCTTGTGGGCATTTAGTGCTATAAAGTTCCCTCTACGCACTGCTTTAAATGTGTCCCAGAAATTCTGGTATGTTGTATCTTTCTTCTCATTGGTTTCAAAGAACATATTTATTTCTGCCTTCATTTCATTATGTACCCAGTAGTCATTCAGGAGCAGGTTGTTCAGTTTCCATGTAGTTGAGCGGTTTTGAGTGAGTTTCTTAGTCCTGAGTTCTAGTTTGATTGCACTGTGGTCTGAGAGACAGTTTGTTCTAATTTCTGTTCTTTTACATTTGCTGAGGAGTGCTTTATTTCCAACTATGTGGTCAATTTTGGAATAAGTGTGATGTGCTGAGAAGAATGTATATTCTGTTGATTTGGGGTGGAGAGTTCTATAGATGTCTATTAGGTCTGCTTGGTGCAGAGTTGAGTTCAATTCCTGGGTATCCTTGTTAACTTTCTGCCTCATTGATCTGTCTAATGTTGACACTGGGGTGTTAAAGTCTCCCATTATTATTGTATGGGAATCTAAGTCTCTTTGTAAGTCTCTAAGGACTTGTTTTATGAATCTGGGTGCTCCTGTATTGGGTGCATATATATTTAGGATAGTTAGCTCTTCCTGATGAATTGATCCCTTTACCATTATGTAATGGCCTTCTTTATCTCTTTTGATTTTTGATGGTTTAAAGTCTGTTTTTTCAGAGACTAGGATTGCAACCCCTGCTTTTTTTGTTTGTTTGTTTTCCATTTGCTTAGTAGATCTTCCTCCATCCTTTTATTTTGAGCCTATGTGTGTCTCTGCACATGATACGGGTCTCCTGAATACAGCAAACTGCTGGGTCTTGACTCTTCATCCAATTTTCCAGTCTGTGTCTTTTAATTGGACCATTTAGTCCATTTACATTTAAGGTTAATATTGTTATGTGTGAACTTGATCCTGTCATTATGATATTAGCTGGTTATTTTGCTCGTTAGTTGATTCAGTTTCTTCCTAGCATCAATGGTCTTTACATTTTGGCATGTTTTTGCAATGACTGGTATCGGTTGTTCCTTTCTACGTTTAGTGCTTCCTTCAGGATCTGTGGTAGGGCAGGCCTGGTGGTGAGAAAATACCTAAGCATTTGCTTGTCTGTAAAGGATTTTATTTCTCCCTCACTGATGAAACTTAGTTTGGCTGGATATGAAATTCTGGGTTGAAAATTCTTTTCTTTAAGAATGTTGTATATTGGCCCCCACTGTCTTCTGGCTTGGAGAGTTTCTGCCGAGAGATCTGCTGTTAGTCTGATGGGCTTCCCTTTGTGGGTAACCCGACCTTTCTCTCTGGCTGCCCTTAACATTTTTTCTTCATTTCAATTTTGGTGAATCTGACAATTAAGTGTCTTGGATTTGCTCTTCTTAAGGAGTATCCTTGTGGCGTTCTCTGTATTTCCTGAATTTGAATGTTGACCTGCCTTACTAGGTTGGGGAAGTTCTCCTGGATGATATCCTGCAGAGTGTTTTCCAACTTGGTTCCATTTTGCTGTCACTTTCAGGCACACCAATCAGATGTAGATTTGGTCTTTTCACATAATGCCACATTTCTTGGAGGCTTTATTTCTTTTTACTCATTTTTCTCTACACTTTTCTTCTTCCTTCATTTCATTCATTTGATCTTCAATTACTGATACTCTTTCTTCCAATTGATTGAGCTGGTTACTGAAGCTTGTGCATTTGTCACGTAGTTCTCGTGTCATGGTTTTCACCTCTATCAGTTCGTTTATGGACTTCTCTGCATTGATTATTGTAGTTTTCCATTTTTCCATTCTTTTTTAAGGTTTTTAGTTTCTTTGCACTGGGTACGTAGTTCCTCCTTTAGCTCTGAGAAGTTTGATCAACTGAAGCCTTCTTCTCTCAACCCGTCAAAGTCATTCTCCATCCAGCTTTGTTCTGTTGCTGGCGATGAGCTGCCTTCCTTTGGAGGGGGAGATGCACTCTGATTTTTTTGAATTTCCAGCTTTTCTGCACTGCTTTTTCCCCATCTTTGTGGTTTTATCTGCCTTTGGTCTTTGATGATGGTGACGTACCTGGGAGTTTTGGTGTGGGTGTCCTTTCTATTTGTTATTTTTCCTTCTAACAGTAAGGACCCTCAGCTGCAGGTCTGTTGAAGTTTGCTTGAGGTCCACTCCAGACCCTGTTTTCCTGGGTATCAGCAGCGGAGGTTGCAGAAGATAGAATATTGCTGAACAGCAAGTGTGGCTGTCTGATTCTTGCTCTGGAAGCTTTGTCTCAGAGGTGTGCCCAGCCGTGTGAGGTGTGACGTGTTGGTCTGCACTTTAGTGGGCGATGTCTCCAGTTAGGCTAGTCAGGGGTCAGGGACCCACTTGAGAAGGCAGTCTGTCCATTCTCAGATCTCAACCTTTGTGCTGGGAGAACCACTGCTCTCTTCAAAGCTGTCAGACAGGGACATTTACATCTGCAGAGGTTTCTACTGCTTTTATTTAGCTATGCCCTGTCCCCAGAGGTGGAGTCTACAGAGGCAGGCAGGCCTCCTTGAGCTGTGGTGGGCTCCACCAATTCGAGCTTCCAGGAGGCTTTGTTTACCTACTTAAGCCTCAGCAATGGTGGGTGCCCCTCCCCCAGCCTCACTGCCGCCTTGCAGTTAGATCTCAGACTGCTGTGCTAGCAATGAGGGAGGCTCCATGGGCATGGGACCCTCCAGGCCAGGTGTGGGATATAATCTCCTGGTGTTCCGTTTGCTAAGACCCTTGGTAGAGCGCAGTATTAGGGTGGGAGTTACCCAATTTTCCAGGTGTTGTGTGTCTCAATTTCCCTTGGCTAGGAAAAGGAATTCCCTTCCCCTTTGCGCTTCCCAGGTGAGGCAATGCCTCACCCTGCTTCAGCTCTTGCTGGTCGGGCTGCACCCGCGGACCAGCATCAACTGTGCGACATGCCCCAGTGAGATGAACCCAGTACCTCAGTTGAAAATACAGAAATCACCCACCTTCTGTGTCACTCACACTGGGAGCTGGAGGCTGGAGTTGTTCCTATTGGCCCATCTTGGGTGCCCCCCCTTCTTATTTTTTTTTTTTCTGAGATGGAGTCTTGCTCTGTTGCCCAGGCTGGAGTGCAGTGGCGCAATCTCGGCTCACTGCACCCTCCATCTCCCTGATTGGAGTGATTCTCCTTCCTCAGCCTCCAGAGTCGCTGGGACTATAGGGATATGCCACCACACCCGGCTAATTTTTTGTATTTTTAGTAATGATGGGGTTTCACTGTGTTAGCCAGGATGGTCTTGATCTCCTGAACTTTTGATCTGCCCATCTCAGACTCCCAAAGTGCTGGGATTACAGGCATGAGCCAACATGCCCGGCAGAAGGAATAAGTTTTTCAAAGTCCTCAGGAAAGCCTAAATTTTATCATTGGGAATAAATACTTATTTTCCTTGAAGTGACAACCTCTCACTTCATTTATTTTTGAGAATGAAAGTTGTACTTTTTTTTTAAACCACGTCTCACTCTGTCACTTGGCTGGAGCGCATTGGCATCATCTCAGCTCAAGCAATCCTCTCACATCGGACTCTCCTGTAGCTGGGATCACAGATGTGTGGCATCACACCAGGCTAATTCTTTTTTGCATTTTTGGTAGTGACAGGGTTTTGTTATGTTGCCTGGGCTGGTCTCAAACTCCTGCAGGAGCTCAAGCCATCTGCCTGCTTTCACTTCCCAAAGTGCTGGGATTTTACAGGAGTGAGCCACTACGCTGACCCAGTTGTACTTTTAAATAAAAACGGTGTTCTGTGAAAAAAGTGATTGTTCAGTTCACAATTAAATCACTAATTCTTAAAAAAAAAAAAACAAAAAACTGTACTGCAGTCAGTAGAAATGCTTCTTATTAATTTTCCACTTATTCAGAATATTAAAGAGATGTCAAAGTTTAAAAACAACATTAAGTTTTACTGCTTCATTAAAGACATTCTTAATTCAGGCTGTCTTTTTTACGGTAGGGGACAGTAAAGAATAGAATGACTACTAATGTAATTGGTACCACTGCCTTGATTTATGCTGAGAAACCAGCAGTTTACCCACTTTTGCTTTTATACAGTCATAGCAAGTGTCAACGAAAAAGCAGGCAATGACTTCGTATTCCTTTTACAGATTTTTTAATTTTTTATTCAGCTTTCTCAGGTATGTGTTGGCCAGGCACAGTGGCTCAGGTAATCCCAGCACTTTGGGAGGCTGAGGTGAGCAGATCACCTGAGGTCAGGAGTTCAGGACCAGCCTGGCCAACATGGTGAAACCACATGTCTACTGAAAATACAAAAATTAGCCAGGCGTGGGGGCAGGGGCCTGTGATCCCAGCTACTCAGGAGGCTGAGGTAGAAGAATCACTTGAACCTGGGAGGCGGAGGTTGCCATAAGCCGAGATCGTGCCATTGCACTCCAGCCTGGGCAACAAGAGTGAAACTCGGTCTCAAACAAACAAACGAACGAAAAACAAACAAACAGTGTTGACCTCTTAGCCCTTCTAGAAAGGGTCTTGGGGATCCCGAGAGGTCCACAGAGCTCATTTGGGGAACCACTGGTTTATCATGTAGGCAGAATGCATTAGTTTTACAAAATTTAAAGTTCATCAAAGACTGGCCTCTTAAAAAGGCAGATGAGTTTTTAATTCAAACAACAGAAAACACATAAATACATCACGAGAGTGTACTACACAGAACTAAAGAGAAAGGAAGTTAGGAAATCTGAATCACGTTTACATTTATTAAAGTTCATCACTACTGCTTTGTAAAACATTCTTGTGTTTCAGTGTGTGGTGTGGTTAGAAGAGTGAAAATATATTTGGTTTGTTGCCATTGCCTGTTAGGGAGAGTCAATACTTATGGGCACTTCTGACTGGTTATCATATAAAAGACTTCACAGTACAGGACATGAAGTGCTGAGAAAGAAGAAGTCAGGAAATCCTCTGCAAGTCAGGATCCAGGAGAAAAATTTGTAAAAACTGCTTCGGTAAAGTAAACAGCAAAGCACACAGGAGGCAGTATTTTACTAAACACGTTATACTAAGATATTAACAGTGTTTGAAGTAATGCACATTCTTATTTTATAGACATGCAGATGGATCTTTGAGCATATTTGATGAACAGTTATACTCATTTATGGTAAGTGGCACTTTTATTGAGATTGTATTTTCTTCATACACTTGTATCTGTTTCATGCTGAAGTCAAAGGCATCTTTTTTTAAATCTTCCCCATTTCATGTTGTATTTAGTCATCTTAAGTGTTGTAAAAAGAATGTGCTGGAATAAGAACTGATCTACAGCTCTGTTTAGTTAGTGAGCTAGTATGAGTAAATATACTATCCAAATAACAGAAAATGTATCTTTTTTTTTTTTTTTTTTTTTTTTTGAGACGGAGTCTCTTTCTGTAGCCCAGGATGGAGTGCAATCGCACAATCATCTTGGCTCACTGCAGGCTCTGTCTCCCAGGTCCCTGTTCGAGCAATTCTCCTGCCTCAGCCTCCTGAGTAGCTGGGATTACAGGCATGTGCCACCGTGCCCAGCTAATTATTTTTTTCCTTTTTTTTAGCAAAGACAGGGTTTCACCATGTTGGCCAGGATAGTCTTGAACTCCTGACCTCGTGATCTACCCACCTCGGCCGCCTTAAGGGCTGGGATTACAGGTGTGAGCCACTGTGCCTGGCACAGAAAATGTATCTTTTTAAAAGGTAATTGTGAGCTGTCTATAGGACCCTGCAAGTCACTACCCAATTCTCGAAGCCATTCCTCCTCCTGTTCCACACAGGTTTCCACCATGCAAATTACCCAGACAAGAAATGGAGGTGGGAGTTTTAGTAACGATTCCTTCTCCATTCCATCGACTCCCAGCACCAGCCAGGAGGACCTTCAGGTCAATGTTCCTCCCACTGCTGACACACCCACGCCCGTTCACAATCGATCCAAGCGCTGGTCCAAGCTGTTTACATCTGAGAAAGGAAGTGATCCAGACAAAGAGAACAAAGCCCGGGAGAGCCATGCTGACACCATCGGGAGCGGCAGAGCCATCCCCATTAAACAGGGCATGCTCTTAAAGCTAAGTGGGAAATGGCTGAAGAAACGGAAAAAGAAATATTGCACCCTCTGTGACAATGGCATGCTCACCTATTATTCAAGCTTAGGTGATTATATGAAGAATATTCACAAAAAAGAGATTGACCTTCGAACATCTACCATCAAAGTCCCAGGAAAGAGGCCACCCCTAGCCACACTGGCCTGTGCACCCATTTCCAGCTCTAAAGGCAATGGCCTATTCAAGGACATGAACAGTCTATGTACCTCAGCCAATTCAGACACCAGGCTTGGTGACTCCATATGCTCCAGCCCCAATATCTCCAGCACCACCAGCCCCAAGCTCAACCCACCCCCCTCTTCTCATGCCAACAAAAAGAAACACCAAAGGAAGAAATGCACCAACAACTTAAAAGACAATGGCCTGTCTGGCACTGCTGAAAAACAAGCAGAAAACTTTATCATTGTGTCCCTCACTGGCCAAACGTGGCACTTTGAAGCCACGTCATATGAGGAGCGGGATGCTTGGGTCCAAGCAATGGAGAGCCAGATCGTGGCCAGCCTGCAGTCATGCTAGAACAGCAAAAGCAAGTTCCGGCTACTTTAGACTAGCACAAGATTGTTTACTAATAATCTTGATCCTTAGCTACATTTCTCTGCAATAAATTTGCTATGATGCCATGATGGGGATCAGCAAGCTACGTTTTCCAAGTTCCTTCTAGTGGGATCCTGCTAGGTTCTGCTATTGGGAGGTACTAGAGAAACATAGAAAGGCAAGAGAATGGAAGAATAGATCTCCTTTTCCTGTTTATTTGCTGTCCTTGCCGATGTTCTCCCAAGAACATCTCCTTGTCGTAGGAGCAGTAATTGTTTCGCTTTACCAGTTTCTTCAGAGCCCCAGAAAGTGCCTCTTCAGAGGTAACAGCAGCAGTTGGAACATATCTCTCCCTCAGAGATCTAGTCTCAGCCCAGGAAGGCTTTTACTCTGAGTTTTAATTGTAATAACTCCAATCTCTTCCGTTCATTCATCTAAGCTTCTGAGGAGGCCCCTATGTGGCCAGGAGATGGTGGTGATGGCTGCATCTTGCAGTCATTTTCTTTGCTTTCTACAGTGTTGTTACTTGTTTCTCCTATTTCCTATGTACTTTATGTGAAATGACATGTTTTTTATAATGTAGCCATGGCCTACCAATAGCATATTTTCTTTTAGATTTGGTAATATATATTTTGCTTCAGTGACTTTATATCATTATTTGTTGCCCACATTACTTTTTCATATACAAAACATCCAATATTACCCGGTCCCATCATTTCTTCTGATATCCATTGTCCTGTGATTTGTCCTGGAAAGTGAATTGTTTATCCATCCATTTCACTCTGTGAAGTTATACAGGTCTATCTATGTAGAACTCCTGTGCTCCAATTTATTCCCTGTGTGAAACTGGGCAATTCATTAATCTGGGAATATATGTCTTCATATGCAAATCAGAGGTAACACTTACCTCACAACATTGTTTAGAGCATTAAAAGAAATATAATATGATATGTTTCACACAGAATTTCCCTGGGTGTGAATTGAACAATGTCAGTTTTTCTCCCATTTAATGTGAAAACTGACTATATAAATAAACATATTGTAGAGGAAACACAGGCTCAGATAGGATATTAATAGCCTGTATCACAAAATTAGTAAGTGATGGAGCTAGAATACAAACAAGATCTGCCTATTTACAAAAATCAATAATTTTTCCTCTGAAACAAGTCACTATATGCCTTTGGTTTTTAAGTGAAATGCACTCAACTTCACATTTTAAAATATGCCACAAATGTACCCATAAAGTAAGTGAACATGACTATTGAGTGGGATCACAATTATTAAAAAGTTTGCCTTGGGAACAAAGACAGTACAATGACCCTCAGGGAACTGAATTACATACCCAAAGGGGACATGTGCCATCTACCTGGGCTCAATGGGGGTTTTCCAATGGATTCTTTGTAAATAGGTGTTGCACATACTTCTGTGTCTTTAAGCTTTCCTTTATAACTTCCAGACCTACTTCTGATGGTGATGAGTTTCTTTCAAAACCTAACCCTAGATATGGGGTCAGCTTTAGGCAAAATTATGAGTTGCTAGCTAACAAAAGTAGCTAATATTTTAATGAAATGTCTTCTTATTAAGCTAAATGCCAAACACTATTCATTACGTGTATTAATAAGTTATCACAATTTTATGAAGTAGACATGACCATTTTTAATTATCAGTTGAAGAAACTAAGGCACAGAAAACTTAAATACTTTACCCAAAGTCATGTTGCTTGTGGAGAAGTTGCAATTCATCTTGGTTATCTTGACCTAGAGTCTGCGTGCTGGATGACTATTTTAGACTGTTATGTGTGCATGCAGAGTTCAGTGCTGGTCTGGTCCCACTCCCTCCTAACCCTTCTGTCCCCTAGTGATTTCATCCTGTTCCCTACTTCTCAAGACTACTCCTCTTCTTGGATACTTTTTCATATTCCAGAACTAATCATTCTGTTTCTTTTCTTTCTGCTCGTCATGCCAAAGGCAAAGTTAGCCAGGGTAGCTGACATAAAGGAATTCATACTAAACAATGGCATGCTCAATTTGTAAAATTTTCCAGAGTTAAATAGGTAAAGGTGTAATTTCTTCTTTGAAGAAAACAATGTTGAATTTTACTTAAATGAATGATAAATATAATTTTGAGATGTATTTGCAATCTATATGAGTAATATATCCTATCATGCTTCACATTCTCACACTTTTATACCATTAAGGATCTCTACATCTGTCCCCAGTCAGCTACCATCTCTCTTCCTCAGCTGTTATGTGAGATCCAAAAATTAAATTTTAAAAGTAGTTCCTAGGTTTTAAACATTTTTAAATTTTCCTGGAAAATTTTCCTGGAAGGACATGATGAGTAACCTCATTGTCAGCAAATGCCTTAGGTATTAAGGAGAACAGTCCTAATGGCAATAGCTAATATTTTTTTTTTGCCAGAGCCAGGTTTTAGTATCTCTTTGCAACTGTGTGACAGCATGATCATATTCTTATTACAAACCTATGAAGTGGCTATCCACTTTATTTTAGTTTTATAGGGGAAAAGCAAGTCCTTAGAGAGTCTAAGTAACTTGGCTCTGGATTTGAACTTCAATCTAGCTATCTCTACAACTTGACCTTTGAGCATTATACCACCTTATATGTCAACCTTACCTTGAAAAGCAACAAGCAAACCAAATAAATAAAACAATAAGAACAACCTATAATAAAAAGCCTTCTCAGCCGGGTGCAGTGGCTTACACCTGTAATCCCAGAATTTTGGGATGCTGAGGGAGGAGGATGGTGTGAGCCCAGGAGTTTGAAACCAACCTAGGCAACACAGTGTTACCCCGTCTCTACAAAAAAAAAATACAAAAATCATATAGGTGGACATGGTGGTGCTCACCTGTAGTTCCAGCTACTCAGGAAGCTGAGGTAGAAGGATTTCTTGAGCCCAGGAGGCAGAGGCTGCAGTGAGTTGAGATAGTGCCACTGCACTCCAGCCTCAGCAACAGAGAGAAACCATTTCTGAAAAAAATAAAGGACTTATTATCTAATTCAGTATATTCTATAATAATTAAAACATATCATTGAATGAATGGGGAAGAAAATTAGATCAACTGCTGTGAAGTCAACTTGTTTACTCCTGATCAAGGAATAGCAGCAGATTTTACCTCTGTGGTATTAGTAAAATAGATCTTTGCGCAGGGCGCGGTGGCTCAGGCCTGTAATCCCAGCACTTGGGAGGCCGAGGCGGGCAGATCATGAGGTCAGGAGATGGAGACCATCCTGGCTAACATGGTGAAATCTCCTCTCTACTAAAAATACAAAAAATTAGCCGGGCGTGGTGGCATGCGCCTGTAGTACTAGCTACCAGCTACTTGGGAGAATGGTGTGAACCTGGAAGGCGGAGCTTGCAGTTAGCAGAGATTGAGCCACTGAGCTCCAGCCTGGGAGACAGAACGATTGAAAAAAAATGTATATGTATATATATATGTTTATATATATATACACACACATAAAAATTTTTGCTTCCAAATACATATTTTAAATGTTTGATATATGGGGACACATCACAGTGTATACTGTCAAATTAAGTGAGTTATAAACAGAAGAGGAAAATCAAAATAGGAAAATTATAATAGCCTTAAATCTCTCAGTTGATATTAAAAATACTAAATTCTGGGCCGGGCACCATGGCTCACACCAGTAATCCCAGCACTTTGGGAGGCCGAGATGGGTGGATCACGAGGTCAAGAGGTGGAGACCATCCTGGCTAACATGGTGAAACGCCATCTCTACTACAAATAAAAAAAAATTAGCCGGGCGTGGTGGCGGGTGCTTGTGGTCCCAGCTACTTGGGAGGCTGAGGCAGGAGAATGGCGTGAACCTGGGAGGCGGAGCTTGTAGTGAGCGGAGATGGAGCCACTGCACTCCAGCCTGGGCGACAGAGTGAGACTCCATCTCAGAAAAAGAGACAGAATAAAAAAGACAAAAACTAAATTCTGGCAGCTAGGTAAAATTAATATAAGAAAAGAATAGATACAGCACTCACTTTTTCTATACCCCCAAGTGTTTTATTTATTTCTATATTTGGAAATTCATAATCTATTAGTCACATTATTTGGAATTTCAAATTATGTTTCAGATAAAAGACTTGTCCTTTAAAAACATACGTTTGGATGAATAAACAAAGCAAACTTGCTGTGACTTTCATGTAAACTACTTTGTCATCCTATATTGTTCCATTGAGTTAGTGAGGTCAGGGTTTTGATAGAATGAGAACATTCATACAGTGAATTTCAGACGTATTTGAAGGTTTTTAAAAATGATGTTGACTTTGTCTAGGGCTGAGGGTGATGTTGCAGGGCAAGTGTAAAGGACAGAGTCACACAGAGACTCCTGAGAACTAGAAAGCAACCAGTGAGTCCCAGCATCTGAAAGCAAGGAAGTGTCAGTGTAGTTACATATAAATTTAGTAAAACATAAAGCAAGCACTCAATTGTTTTCCAACACAATATGCTAATTGGAGTGGCAGAATTGTATGGTAGAAAGAACATACAAATGGCAAATATATTCACAACACTGTGCCAAGTGCAGTGAGAGGTACAGTGACATAAAAACATGCATTTTCAGACATTATAGTCAGTTTGAGGATTTAATATATTCATCATGTACAGAGATCTAAAATTTCCTTGAGTATCTATTATGCATGCTGAATGCTAGGAAATGTGTGCTAAATATTTTATTTTGGATTCTCTCAGATAAAACTGACCTCATAGCTCTGAGTTACGTAATTTGATATGTATCACATAAGAAAATTAAAGTGCAAATGAGGAAATCGAGGTACAGACACATTAAGCAACTTGTCCACGACTATACAGCTGCTACGCAGAGCATCTGGGATTCAAATCTAGGAATGAGTGAAGAATTTTATTACTAATTGCATAAGTAAATACATATGTCTAACCCAGTCATATATTCTTTGTTGGGTCTATGACCCAATATTGTAAAAAATAATTATAGAATTAGATTTTCTGTTTATTTGAGTGCAAAATTTACTTCACAAAATTATAATTCTGTTGTTTAAATATTGAATGTATAGTATGAATTATTCTCTAATAGTAGTATGTCTTTTAAAGTCACACATTGGTAAATATTGCCTTAATAATGGTTATGAGTCAGGAACTGTTCTCAGCACATGTTATATCAATGAATCCTTTGAAATAGTTAATGTGGTAAGTGTAGACCAAATCAACCGATAATTAGCTAAGCCTCAGAGGATTTGAGTACTGTATCTATATTTATATGGCCAGTGAGTAGAGAAGTTGAGTCTTAATCCCAGTGATCTGACAGCAGTGATCTCATTTGTGTATATGATTCCAGAATCACTGTGGGAGAATGTGAACCCATAGTTAGACAACGCATAGTTTCCAGCAACAACTAGAGTCTTATCTTGCTCTGGGAGTGAAGAAAATACGCCATGATAATTTGGTATTATTGTAATGTGAAAAGCATAAGGAGAATAACTCACAAGAAAAATATTAAAAAGTTTTCTGAAGCACGCTTCTCTTATAGCTTCCAGATTAATGTGCTTGCATATTCTAAGCAATGTTTTCCACAGACAGATTTTCTGTGTAAGCAGAAATTGGCTTAATTTAAGGAGGTACACAGGATGATGGAGTATTTTGTGTTGACTACAGAGGTTGGCTGTCATTTGTTAGTGCCGTAAAATTTTGTAAAGCTGCTCTGAGATTCTTTGAAATTCATTTATAACAACGAGACTGGATACTTTACCATCTTCTGCAAATGTTTCCTAGGAGATTTAGTAACTCATGTTCCCTACCTTCTGTAGTTTATTTCCATTCTATGATTGTTTGTCTTCTGAAATAATTTCAACAATTGAATCTGTTTAATTTGTCCGGTTCTGAGAAAACTTTAGCTAGATGACAAATTTAACAGTTTAGTCCAACAGGCTTTGAGTGGTATATATATGCATGTGCTACTAAAGAAGTCGAGAAATTAACCCCAGGTCTTCAACATTAAAAAATGAAAAAGAAGGTAGGGGAGGGACTCTT